AAAATATATACCATCATATAAATATTATCTAGACCAAGATGAATATAATATGTGGTTCCGGGATTACCGGATGGTCCCCACTCCTGGTGTGGGCCCCACGTGCAGTTCACTATTCACGCGAAAGAAATAACCAAAAATTTACAACCACGTAAATTCATAAATCGATATTCAAGATTTATTACATGATTTACTAAAAAGTAAATATATTTGGGGACGGTGTTACATTTGCCAACGCACGTCTTTGACCGTAATTATATCTTAATTCTATTAGTAAAAAAAATATTAAAAATCAGATTTTGAAAATTTGTAATGAGATGAATTGAACAATATTTTTGTTACAAAATAATTTTCATAAAATAATAGCGTAAAATGTAGTCAAAGTAGATCATGTGAATAGTGTAAAATTCAACATGTTGCGATTAAAACGAAACGGAGGATAGTACTTTGTAACAATTTGTAGTCTTCATTAAATACTTCGTAAGAAGCAAGTTCTTCAAAACTCAAAAGTGAGCATTCTCATAACTCGCATTTTTTTGCTAAGATTGTCACATTTTTTTCATTTCGGTTCATTCCACTAATATTATCTCAAACCAAATTTAATAAAAAAATATGTTTCTAAATTATTCTTATTTTATTATTACTTTATCATTTCAATATCATTCATATAAATATTTTTTTAATAATCATATCATTTCCTCATGTCCCAATATTAGTGAGACGAAGGTAGTATTAAATAAGAAGTAAATTTAAATAAATTAATCTATAGTTTATTATTGTTGTTAAACACGTAGCAATGCAGCATTAAGAACAATATGGAGTATTTGTTTTAACATGTCGATCAGATGAATCAGAAACCAAAGTATTGGTGAAGCTAGTAAACCACATACTGTACTTCTTAAGGTAGTACTTAACTTAAGAAATTATCCTAAGATGCATATTTATTTAGCCCCAAATACTAAACCACAAAGTATATTTCGGTAGGTCAAAACGTAAGTCCATTTCCCCAATCCCATTTTGCTAACTGTAAAAAAACCATTTTGGTTTCTCCTTTTACATACGACTCTATACTCCATAAGGATGATTTTGTTATGAGAAATTGTGCTAAGTAAGACCATTTCATAGTTGTTTGACAAAAATAGGACCTTCTAAGTTAATTTACTTTCGTACATATATATTAGTTCTATTTTAGGAAACTTAATTCTGAATTACCTAGATTACCCTTGAGTGCCTATTGCTGACCTAACTCCCATCTTCATTCATGATATAATCTAACATATATGAACTACACGCCAAATTTGACGATATATCTTCTTCTCCATCTACGTTTGATTTGCATCGATAATTAAAATTATATCGGCAACAATTCCTTCATAATTTTCGTTCGCCAAATTGTGATTATCCCTGAGAGTTCTTTGAAATCCTACTGCAAGAATATCATTCTATCCTCCGACTACAACACCGAATTGTGGATTGCTTCTTCTGCAATTTGTTGTTGTAAGTTTCTATCAATTGTTAGTTTCCTTTACATTTTTACTTTTTGTAGTCCTCTGTATCTTCTTAATGTTTATGACCTTCTTAGTTGACATATTATTGAAAGTTTATGAGATATCTCTCTCTAATTTGTGAGCAGAACTCCTTCGTCATGTTCCTTCTTTACTGCACCAATAACCTCCCATCCTCTAAATTAGGTCAGCTCAATTTGTGGATTATTTGTTTGTCAATAATTCAGTTAAAGCTTTCCATGTGTATTATTCTTAGTTGTTTATGAAAATTTTAGTTGACATATTGTTACAATAATTTATAAGTAGAACTTTAGATAATGAGATAATAACTGCCTTTAAGGAATTATAATGTCTTGAATGGATTACTCTATTCTGAACAGACTATGATGGGTTTTCACGTGTTTAACACGCATACCATTCTAGCTACCTGCTATATTTACTCATTGCTACTTCTATACGAGGTTGATCACACATGTTATTATGCCTAAGGGTGAATAGTTCTTGAGATGATTCTCACTGTATTGCGATAAAAGAATTTGTGGTTTAATAGGTCAAGGTGAAACATATGCATCCTATCAGTGCTTTGGTCTATTCATGCACTGGTGCATTTTATTGGAAGGAAATGATTAAGTTTACGTATTGAATTTAATAATGCCCTCCAGTTGTTGGGATAATACTAGTTTCAATTTTTTTTCAATATGAGACAAGGGTTTCAAATACAAGTCTTACATATTGTTTTCCCTTATGATCATTGTGATTAGGTTGTCCATCCAGTGAAGTTGGGTGAATGTAAAATATTTTAAATAAGAAAGTAACATCATTGTTGGAAATAGTGAGTTGTATATATAGTGTTTTATCTTTACTTGCTCTGCTATTATACTATTGTCATAACTTATTATCTATTTACTGACTGCTTAATGTCTGTACTTTCTGTTCTTTTTGCAAGTTTGATTTTGTTCATACATGCTCTCTTTATATCAGACAAGCCCCTCGTCAAGCCACAATAGATATAGTTGTTGATACCATCAAACATCAATATGCAAATGCATCTAGGAAACTATATGTTACAAATGATATTTTTGCGTTTTTATTATTTCCATACTCTACATTCACTATGTACTTACTTTTAATAATGTCTATGCTATTTTAGGTTAAGCTTGCTACTCAGTTTGAGTTTGAAGTGGTGGACAGAATATCAAGAAGTTTTGTTGTTAATCTCAAAGACAAAACATGGTCATGTTGTGAGTTTTGACTGGAGCAGTTCACACATGTTCATCGTGTTGCAGTTGTGGATCAACGTCGAGGATTATCGTGTTACAACTATAGCTCACTTTACACATGAGGGAGTTACTCTTTATTGTGCGGTGGTGGAGCCTACTGGTTCTTGCTTTGATTGGGATCATTTGGTTATGTGTAGTCCATAAGGTGCAGTTCACCTTAATTCTCACACGCCAACCCAGTAGACCTGAAAAGAAGCGTATATCTTCAGTTGAAGAATTTGCTTCTTGATAGTGGCATTGGGGTTCACGCTGTAAGAAAGGGCGGCACAATAAGAAGTCTTCTAGAAATCATATTAGAGTCCATAGTTGTGAAATTAACAGTGCCATATAACTTTCTTTTTAATTTGTTTTGCTCATTGTTTTTAATTTCCATGGTTTGCTGGAAATGGACCTTATGTTAGTTGCCATGGTTTATTGGCATCGGAGATCATGTTATTTTCTTATTCGTACTCAAGTTTATTGAATAATAGTTATTTCAAAAAGTAGCTGACATGTATAAAATTAATGCCTTTTTACCGTCTGATTACTGACCACCTCTTCTATACATATTTATTGTCTACTTGAAAATGCACTTAGCATGCCAATTTTATCTACTCAGTATGCTTCATATTTCTTCCCGGCCTTATCTGCAACTCAAATTTTCCACTTAATATGTATGTGAAATAGATGTTTAAACGAAATGTTTTAGGTGTCCACCTTTAACAATTACATGCTCATATTATTTCATATGTCTTGTATGTAGAACTTATATCACTAGTTGAATTTTTAAAGTTCATTATTACTATAAGTTTTTATGCAAAGTTGTAAGTAATTTGTGTACTTACTGTAATTGTAGTCATTTAATGTCTCTGTTTGTTGTATTAAAGACTTATTATTGACTATTTATGAACTTCATTCTATAATTATATTACAGTTTACAGTAAACTCAACATAAAACAAAAAGTAACAATGAACTCTCATCATTTCATAATAACAAAGGATAATATACGATCATATTTCAAATAAAAATGTAATTCATATGTAGTCACAATATTTAATAACCAAAAGAAGAAAGGTTTACATCATAGGCCACCTAATACTTAATGTGTATCATAGACCATCTCAGTCCACCTGCTTCCTTGATGATGCACATCAGTGGCACTGCGGCCGTTATGTTTCACATGACTACTCAATACTTAAACTGGTTGCTTAACATCTTTTCACCTTTTAAGCAAACCATTTAATCTTTCATTTTTTCCTTCACACCGTCTTCTTTATCAATCCGATATTGTCTTTCCTCTAGTTAATCCATGATGTCTTACTATAGCATTTGTCATATAGATCAACCTTCCTCTGTGGCTTCTTTTGATGAAGAAGAAGGAATTGATCATCAGATCCCATTACAGCTCTCCAGAAGAGGGTCAGGAAAAGACAATCCCCTGTAGTTTCAATTTTGAAGCTAAACTTTGATCAAGAATCTCAATCATCTTCAAAATCTGATATAGTGGTTCCCAGAAAAGTCAGCTCTCTCCATTTGTATATGGCTTCACCCTACTGCCTCGTGTAGTTTCGAATACTACTTCGACTTCCTGCAACATTTATCAATCAAATATTAAGGCCAAATACTTAAATCTTTATTTTTATGTTTTTCAGTATTATATTTATATTATTACTTAATTTAACATCATTAGTGCTATCTTCTAGGTATATCCCTGATATCAAATACCCGTCTTTCTTTCTTTCTCTGCACTAATTTGGTGTGCCTACTACAAGTCGGATGATTTTTATGTTTTAGTGGCTAAAAAACTGAAATGTTAAAGCTCGTAGAAGCCTAGATTTGACTCATCTAATTAATTCCAATTTGTTTAACATTGTCCCCTGTTTTAATTTTGGGGTTTAACGTTAACGAATTTATGCCTAAAAATTTATAATTTATGGCAACTCTGCAAGTCGATGAGAGTGATCTTACCTCTTTTCTTCTTGGTGATAGTGTGTGTTGCTGCCTCGATCCACGATGTGATGAGGTCAAATGGATTGCCGATCAAACTTCTCTGAAGCAGGTGAACAACTACGGGTTGTCGGAGAAAGGGCTTCTAGATGTTTGACACCATGGCCCTGTACGATGGTGTTGTCTTGGCGCGCTAATACTCTGAATCACCTATGGCGGTCTCATCGGGCATCGAAGTCTTCTCCTAGCAAAATCTATTTGTTTGGCTCCTGATCGGAGGAGTCATCGTCCACGATCAAAATTGTGCCCTGGAATGGTGATTTGCTATCTAATTTAAAATAAGGGTATTATGGTCCAGACATGTATACTTTAGTTCTACACATACTTCTAGTCCTAATATTGGAAAGTTATTATGATTAGGTCTTATATGGGTAATTTTCCCTTTTGTTATATACATTAAAAAATGACAGTTGTAGCAGCCTAAAAAAATTGTAATATACATTGAATTATTTTTTTGTATTAGCCCAAATCAGGAGAAACCAATCTTCTTCTTCTGGAAGTCCGCAAGTTGCAGAGAATCCAGAGACACTTAGTCGACCAGTCCCCCACTCGCCTCATCGACTGCGGCCTGCGTCTGCCAGCAGCCAACCTACTATCCCAAGCGGCCCAACTGAATTGCTGACTGAGTCGGCAGCATCGCTCACAGCCCAATACTCCTGCTCCGGCCACTCGCCTACTGCCATGTTCTACAGCCCGAGGCCATCCACTGCCAATCGACAATCACAATGTCTCTCTAACTCTCTCTCTCTCTCACGCTCTTAGACGTACTCATAGAAGTCTGGGAAGGTATGAAGTTCAGCTTATTAAATACTCTAAAAAAGTATTTTTTTTGCTTATTAAATACTCTATTACCAAGCTTCCCTATTCAGAGGGTATTTGACGAATCAGTGTAGTTTTCTAACATCTTATTCCAAATAGCGTAATTTTTTTTCTTTTTTCTCAAATAACGCAAAACAGAGTTCACAGGTCCGAAAATTTGTTCTGCAGGTATGTCAGCCACTTTCGGATTTCACTCATCCGAATTCATTTAATTTTTTTTTAAATTTTTTTTTGTCTTCTTATAGAATAGACGTACACCTTACACCCGCTATTGGAAATGAGCTTGTATTTATTTGCCTTCCCTACATGCTCAATTGTGGTTGTTATTTGTTTGTTTTGATGGCTTATATTTTTTATTTTAAAGAAATTGTTTGTGTTTGTTAGAAATTACAAGTTATTCAACATAAGTAAAAATTGTACAATATTGTCATTAAAATAAAATAGGCGTTTCACACCCCCGAATTTCGCTCATGAATACGCGTTTTACAAAAAAATAACCCATTCAATTAAATAAGCACACGTTTTACAAAATGGACCCATTAAATCATTTGAACAAAAATATTGAAAAAGTTCTTACAATTACATTAACAAAATAATCTTTTTAACCCAAATAATAAAAACCTACCCATTAAATAATGTGACCCGAAAAATAACAAAGTACAGTAATTAAAAGTCTCAATATATTTAATCAATGTGACGAGTTTTAAAAAGAGTTGACTCATTTGGCGTTATTAACTCGAAAATAACTACAGATACAATTTACATATCACGCATTTAAAAATAAGTGACCCAGGTCATATTAATTCTAAATTAAACAAAGTTCTTAACATATTAAAGGTACATTTAACACATATGGCTAATAAAAGTGTTACAACATTAAAACAAGCTACAAAGAAAATAAATAATACACCATAATAGAGTACAAATACGAATCAATCATGTTGTGCTCTGCGTCTTGAACGCATATCCATCTCATTTGGAAATCTTGTTTCTTGACGGCGTCCTACTCGAGAAGTTCTGGAAGAGTATTTAGGCGACAGAAGAATGAACTCATTTTGTGGCCACTCATTCATATTCGGCAATGGCATGATATCACTAGAATGTGCATTTATGTAAGAACTCAGTTTGTATACCTCTGGAATAAGATGATCAACACGGCACTTAAGAAAATGGCAGACAGCATGCGCATGGACGCATGGCATGCCGTTCATCCTCCAACAACCGCACTCACAGACGAGCCTCGATAGATTCACTGTAATAGGTGTTGCATTTTCTACGGCGACTGAGTAAATTCCTGTGTAGTGGTTGTGTGGAAGAACCATAATGTGAGGTCTTTGGTGCCAACGCTCCATTATCTCTTTCCGAATGTTGTCCGGAAAATGATATCCAGCTTGCTGCCACATCATACCAGCACTACGACGTTGGGCGAAGAGCTGGACTAGTTTGTCAAAAGTTGCTCGTACAAGGGCTGTGATTGGCAATGTCCTGCATCCTTTGAGAGCATTGTTGAAACTTTCCGAAAGTTTTGTTGTCAAAAATACCATAACGACAACCACCATCAAAACAAAGTGCCCTCTTTTCTTGGGGAATGTCATTTAAATACTTGAATGCTCTCTCGTTAGTATCCCGAATTTGTTGCATGAAATGGTTAAATTCACTTACAATCGGGGTACTTCCCGCTCGCCAACACAGCTTCTTTAGTTGTTTACTTCTAAATCGGGACATGAAGTTGCTTCTAATGTGGCGAAGACAATAACGTCTCTGAAATCGAGGTGTTCCCAATTCTTCCACATTATTGAGGTGGTTGGAAATAATGGTGTTAGTTGCGGAGTGGGTGAGTATCTATTCAGAGATATTTTATCTGACCGGGAATATTTTTATCTGATAAAGTACTTTTTTTATCTAACCAGAGACATTATTGAGGTGGTTGGAAATAATGGTGTTAGTTGCGGAGTGAGTGAGTATCTATTCAGAGATATTTTATCTGATCGGGAATATTTTTATCTGATAAAGTACTTTTTTTTATCTGACCAGAGACATTATTGAGGTGGTTGGAAATAATGGTGTTAGTTGCGTAATGGGTGAGTATCTATTCAGAGATATTTTATCTGACCGGGAATATTTTTATCTTATAAAGTATTTTTTATCTGACCAGAGACATTATTAAGGTTGTTGGAAATAATGATGTTAGTTATGAAGTGGGTGAGTATCTATTCAGAGATATTTTATCTGATCGGGAATATTTTTATCTGATAAAGTATTTTTTTTATCTGACCAAAGACATTATTGAGGTGGTTGGAAATAATGATGTTAGTTGCGGAGTGGGTAAGTATCTATTCAGATATATTTTATTTGACCGAGAATATTTTTATTTGATAAAGTAATTTTTTTTTATCTCACGGACATTATTGCAGTGGTTTGATTTGAATGCACCGTTTATTTCTCATTTATGTTGTAATATGGATAGTGGATTTGTATTTGCTTAAAGTTGCAACCCTCGTTTCGAGCGTGACAACTCCGAATTTGATTAAAGTTCTGACAGAGCTGTTTTCGAATACATGGTTCTTAGATTCGGAGTAGCCTACTCCGTTTGACCATTTTTTGTCAAAAAAAAAAACACATCAACGCCATTCGGAAACACCTGCTACAATTTTACTCTGTTTCGTCATTTACTCCTATTCAAAAGTCCGGCCACTCTCCTACTGCCCTAGACCCTAGTCCTGTACTTCGTATTCATTTCTTCTCTTTTCAGAATACAGAAGTGAAATGACAATAGCCTTTTCTGAGTTTCATGTAGCCTAATTACTTCGACTGGGTTGACCGGTTTTAAGCTATTCTTGACCTATCTTTTGGCAGGAAGTTGGGCATATTTTCCACCTTGCTTTGTATATAGTAAGATTTTCTTAGCATCTTCTTCATTAAGTCTAGTTTACTCATACCAAATTTCAGATAAAAATTCATTCGAGAAGACGGTCAAATGATTTTTTGAAATATACTGCGCTGTCTAACTACGCAGTTATTTCAAAAAATCATTTGACTGCCTTTAAGATTGATTTTTTAGCTGAAATTTGGTATGAGTAACTATACTTGATGAAGAAGATGCTCAAAAATATTGACTGCCTTCAATATTTTGTTTGTGCAAAACATTATCTGTGAATCAATGTTCACAAATAAAAAAAAACTTTCATAAACATAGATGTGTACAAAAGTGTGTATAAAACTGTGTATAATTTTAGAAAGTGTATAAAACATCATTTTTGTAAAATTTAACTAAAATTAGAAAGTTGACTTGTAGGTCTTGTACCAGGGTACGGCCTCAAGTCATACCCTTATAAAAAGCTTTCATAGCCCACGCGCAAACTCTTGGACATAAAACACTCTCAAGATGTACGGACGACCGTCGCGCGGCGGTGGCCGTGCGCTGCCTTCCTCCGAAGGCGCCAACTTTGTCAGGAACCCTAACCTATTCTATGCCCAGAATCCCAATGTCTTCCCTAATGTTGCCTTCCAGAATCCTTATGTACAGTTCCAAAATCCAATCTTTCCCTTCCAAGACCCCAACTTTCAGTTCCATGCTCAGCCTACGAGGCCTGTAGGGGCCATGGAGATGATTGACAAGGCAGTCTTGAAGGCCCGTCGCGAAATTATAGCTGCTGGAGATACTGTCTCAGCTTGGAAAGTGTCTCAAGCTGCTCTGGTAATACTGAAGGCTGACACGTGGGACTCACTGGGTTTCCAAATGCAGCAAGTGCCCTCCCTTCACCGTCTTATACTCACCGAAGGAAAGGTACTTAACAATATGGGCCACTTAATTATAAATATAAAATATATACATGAAGCACATTCAATCCCACAGGCACTGAAAGTTTGCTGTTAACCTGTTCAATTTTGAATGAGTTGGCGCACATTTATTAGTGATATGCTTATATACGGAGTATTATTATTGTTGACTGGGAGAAACTACTATAGACTGTGGGTTAATGTTAAATACTAACTAAACTACTACTTTTATTAATGTAACTTTGAACTTTCAATTGCATTATTAAACTATGATAACTATAGTCCGACGTCAAAATATATGAAACTAGAGTAATACTCAAAGTCTAGAACTATAAAACTTTTAGAAATTCAAAACTCGAACAGCTTCACCCAAACTACACTTGCACTCTATCTCTTCTTGAACTGAACTTTTGAACTGAACCAGTGCTCACTTGAGCATCTGAACTTTAACTTTAATTTAACATTAATTTAACTGGATCCATTACTGATTTTTCTTCTTCTCTTTTTCTTATCCTTTGCCCCATTTTTCTAATCTTTGGGGCCTATAATCTTTCCACGGATGATAATAGGATTTCCGGATAGATTTAGAACATAAGTCATAATGTCAAGAATAACAACTGAAAAATTAAAACATAATCTTCTTTTTCGTGGACATATTTTTTGTCTAAAGGTTAGACTGATAAAAAATGAAAAGGATTTAGAGTGTGTAAGGACATAAGTACATTGGTTCTTCAGAGCCACACACCACATGATGACATTTGAGAAAAAAGTGGAAGACAATGTTAATCTTGAAAAACCTTGGAACTTGGATGATTGTCTTTTGCTTCATGTGGCCGAGTTTCATGATAATACCAATGCTATGTGGTTATTTCTCTGCTTTATTAGAGGCACTAAGACAAAAGGGTGGAAGAAGGAGATAATTAGTTGGTTCATGTAGCCATCTCTAATGATATTAATGCTCTGGTTATGGTTCTATAAACAGCACTCAACTCTTTCAGATTTCCATCGAAGTGCATTAGAAAAATCGTGCTCCATAATTTAATTAGGAACTAAAAAATTCAGGAGTAGCAATGCAAATTGATGGTATTTGGCATGTCGTATGTGCGTTCTTTCAAGACCAGAATGAATTAATATTAGTTTAAAATATAAAAATTCTTTTTTCTTCTAATTAATAGATGTATAAGTATGTCATTGTATGCAACTATGCTCTCACACACATAGTATTTTACCTTGAGAACATATTTTTGGGAAGTTGCAATAAACAAATAACTAATAAGTTAATCACCCTGTCGCTCAATATTGCATGTCAAGGCATTTGTAAACATATATTTTCATATACTTTCGTGTGTAATTTAGTGAACTTGCTCAGATCATATGGCCCAGGGCTTCCTTTTTCTTCATCGGTTCCGTTTGATTTCAAATTTAGGTCAACAAGATGCAATAGCTGTTAACTTTGTTATGAATAATCTTATGATAAGGTTTGATTGTTCCCACCAACTACATTCTGCCTTTGCTATTTCTAACGATACATCAGCATAAAGAGATTATTTCTTTAATGCTCGTGAATCTTTTTGTTTCCGCTTGATGGACGATTGTTTACCTTTGCCGCTTTAAGTATCTTGTAGACTTTATGAGCATGCTAAAGTTGAATATATATAACATCTGGTTTTTTTGGAGGGGAGGGGTTAACCGTTAACTTGCTTTAAAGTTTTAGGTACCTTAATGCAGTTTATTCGTTCTTTTACATTCATTTGGCATTAGGAATCTTCTCTGAAAAAGTTCTTATATTTAAATCTTTTTGTAGATTAATTCCTTCATCCACTGCTTTGTTGGCGTTCATAGAATTACAACATTGCATGATTTGGAAATTGCAATATGCGATACAGAGGGGGTTGAGCGGTTTGAAGAACTTGAATTGGGGCCTATGGTGAAGCATCCATTAGTTGTACATTATTTTTCTTTGGGTGCAAGCGTGACAGAAGTATGCAGAATAACAAGTGAAGAAATAATGTCTTTTCTTTTTGAGTTCATTGAAAGCAACAGACGTAAAAAAATAGAAATTGAGGAGTTCTTGGATTTTATTGCAAAGATACAATCTGTAACATCCAAGGAAAAGCTTGGTGTGCGAATCCAGAGCTTGGGGTATGTGATCCTTTATCTTCATATGAAATTGTTCTTGGTGGTACTTAGGGTTGGCATTACCGGCCCTGGCGCACCCCAAGTTTGGTCCAATTTTTTAATTCTTGTGCTGTCTACTACAAGTTGGAATTTAAGGTGGTTCTGGCTCCATCTGATCAGTGCTTGTGAGTTGCAATTCAATGTATGTTACCACAATAAAGTAAAACAGTATTACAAAATGACTTGTAAAAAATAACGACCATAGTGAGCACACACTGATGTAGGCATGTAGCCTTTGGAATTCTTACTTTTATGTAGATCCTGCAGAATCCCCTTCCATAACCAGCTTATCAACATCTCTTTCCTGGCGTACTTTTAACACTGAGTTTTTTCCAACTGATCACAACATGTGTAGATGCTTTCGTTATCTCATCTTTCTTATGCTTTGAGCCTTTGACCATGTCATCTGCATTTAGGCTTTGATAGAGAAGATGACAGAAGAAGGATTAAGGTCCAACCCTTTGATTGTAGCAGGCTTTCTTTTCTTTTCGTGTTTCCTAACAGTGAGTGTGCCTATTCCTATTAACTTCCTTGACCTACAAGTTTACAACTTCAGACCCCCAACCATTATCAGTTATCAAAGTGAAAAATATTTCTTCTTTTACCATAAATAAATGTAATAGTTGGAAGGATTTCATAATTCCATAGTTCCATATGAAATATGGACTAATAGATAATAATATTTCACTATGAATTTCACTGTTTCGGTTATCATTGGCCATCTTTGGGCAGCCAAGGCTTTGTCATCAGTCTCCATTGCTATAGCAGCTATATATTATGTATACCTTAACTTAATGTTTCTTCTTTTCTGGTAAGTTAGCTCGGTCATTTTCTATTGACTGGGACAAATGTAAACATTGATCACCCATAAAATTTAAAATAATAGTAGACACCTACTCTTTGCTCCTTAACATTGCCGTATGTTGCTTTCTCACTGATTTTAATTTCAGAATGCATATCACATTATTTCGGCGAGCAAAGGAGTCAGAAGTGACCAGTGTGAATAAATATCTAGAGCTGCAGAGAAGAAGAGCTATTAAAAGAGCCAGACATTGTGCTTCTTTATCCTTACAAAAAAAGCATATGGATGAAAATTTCAATACTATATCGGAGCGGGTGAAATCATTTTCATCTGCTAATGAAATTCATATTGGTAAACATATAACATTTGTATCATCCTGTTCTGAGGATGGTGCCAATGATGATGAGGAATCTGAAGATGAGCAGGATGGTAATGGTGTACAAAATGAAAATGTTAATAGCTCTGATAGAGTGAGTACCTGTCCTTATCCATCAGCGGCTGAAGAAATTACACGGCTGGAATATAGCAAGAGTATTAAAAAATGCCAAAGAAAAAGAAAACTCAACAATATTCAGAATCCTGTTACTCGTGCTAAAAAAGAGTGCAAAACAGAAAGGACCCAGCCACCATGTGATAGACAAGAGTGGACAACCAATTGTGGAAAAAAGAAAAAAAAGGAAGGGAAGCAGGCCAGACCTGATTCAATTGATTGCTCATATGACAGTGATTCAATGAAGATGTTCATTACCACTTGGAAGGAAACATGTCAAACAGACGCTGTGGATGAGGTTTGGATGACACCTGTTTCATTATGTTATAACAAGATACAAAGCCCTTATTCTTTCTCCTTTTCATTATCTTTCTGCATTGAACTCTGGCCTGATGTTTGTTACCTGTAGGCTTCTCTACCTAAAGCTGGTTTTAGCAATTTTTATTTCCATGTTGGTGGACGTAACTAGGTAGCTTCTGTGTAGTACTCGTTTCTTAGTTCATTAGGAATTGTGCTTATACAAGCTGTGCCTTGCCTTGCACACTAGTTAATCCTAGAAGTTAATTCAAGATGTGTGACTTTATTTTACTATTTCCATTTTCCACCAACGGGAATGGAGGGTCCTATGAAAATTATAGACTATACATCAGATGCATCAGATGTGTGCAATTTTTTTCTGTTTCTGTGTTTTACTGTTTTGCTCACATTTACTTCTATAAAATGCTTAATCTGGTCTACTCTTGGGCTTTTTAGGTGTTTGATAAGATGCTTCAGTTTTATGTAGCACGAAAAAAATCAAGAACATCAGCAAGAAAATTGTTTTCCTCATACCCATGTGTCGGATTGCTTCATATTGCTGTAAGTTTCTTTGAAAGCATTAATTTCAAGTTCGGTTGTTAAGTCAGACATGTTCTTGTGGAATTTAGATGTTAGAATGAAATGAACATTTGTGGTTGGATGAGTGGGTTTTATGTGTAATTTACCTTTCATAAAAGTTTTTACTATGATCTTTTGCAATCCCATTTTGATATTGTTTTAGAACGGGTAGTTATTATTTTATTAATGATGAGCGATTACATTGATTTTTGGTTCATTAACAAATTACATCATTACATGTAATGCATGATAGTGATCTCATTGAATTTGTTTTGGCACATTCCATTTATGCTCTGGATAACACCTCAGTATTCCAACTCGTTCATGGATCCTGATAGATATCCTGTGTAGTACGTACTGTATATGATACCAACTTGTGTTTCTTCTTGTGTGGACATTGCTCTTATAATTGGACAACAAAGTTAGTTAACAAAAGAATAATGAAATTTTTGCAAAACAATATTCTAAGACAGGGGCAAAGCCACCTCCCCCTGACCCCAATTTTAAAATTAGATTAAGCATTATTTGCCCCAAACATTATTTTGGTTCCCTTACCTCAATATTTCAACTGTTAGAATGGCTATTACTCCCTCTGTCCCTTAAAACTTTGCCATCTTTCCTTTTTGGGACGTCCCAAAAAACTTTGACACTTTCCATTTTAATCAATTATTTGTGGTTTCTGTTATTTCTCTCTCCTCTGCACAAACCTCAACCACACAGTTTTTACTTTATTATTCTCCGTGCCGGTTAACTTTGACAAAGTTTTAAGGGACAGAGGTAGTAATATTTATGAAATGAGATCTTTAACATTTGGACATCAACTTGTTTGACTAAATTCTAGTTTACTTGCGTAAATTATTGATATGTTGTGTTGGAATAATAACCAAGATGTCCCCTGAACAAAAACTTATAACTGCATAATAGTATCACAATTTCATTTTATAGGAATAATAATTTTGTAACCCAATTAATGAATTTCAAAGATTTCAACCAAAGAAGGAAGAAATGTTGATACTATAATTGTTTGTTCGAAATTCTGGTCTTGCAATTTTTTCATCATTTGCAATGGAGCCAAAGATTTACTATTTTTTGGCTTGAGAATATGATTGAATAAAGCAAAATGGCTCACTAAACTGCCTGCGGCCTGCGCTTCTTTGTTATGAAGCAACCGTCAGTCTATGCAATTTTGGACGCGATTTTCACTTGTAAGTTTTAGGAATAAAACTTCCTTGAATATTATTGAGCCATCCGGCAATGATATATATACAAGTTACAGATAAAGTCAAGTTGTTACAGATCCTAAAAAATAGGATCTATCTATTCTATCTATTCTGTGAGCTTATCTACTAATTAGAGAGTTCTATCTACTCTAATTCTTATCTACACAGTCTCGGATGTACAAGTAATTAAAATAACAAGAATATGTTACATTTTTCTACACTCCCCCTCAAGTTGGTAAGTATATATCATACATTCCCAACTTGCTTATAAGTAGCTCAATTATAGGTCTAAATAACCCTTTGGTGAAGATATCAGCTGTTTGATCTTTAGTGGATACAAATGGTGTGCAAATGATTCCAGCTTCAATCTTCTCCTTAATGAAATGTCTGTCCACTTCAATATGCTTAGTTCTATCATGTAGCACAGGGTTATGAGCAATGCTTATAGCAGCTTTATTATCACAATATAACTTCATAGACAGCTCAATCTCCATCTTTAGTTCTGTGATTACTCGTTTGATCCAGAGTAACTCACATATTCCATTAGCCATAGCTCTGAATTCTGATTCTGCACTACTTCTAGCAACCACATTTTGTTTCTTACTTCTCCAGGTTACTAGATTTCCCCATACATAGGTGCAGTATCCAGAAGTAGATCTCCTATCAGATATTGAGCTAGCATAATCTGCATCAGTAAAAACTTCAATTTTCCTATGGTTTCCCTTTTTGAAAAACAATCCTTTCCCTGGACAGCTCTTCAGGTATCTCAGAATCCTGTAAGTAGCATCAAGACGTTCTTGGAAAGGATGATGCATAAACTGACTTACCATGCTTACTGCAAATGCAATATCTGGTCTTGTGTGTGCCAGATATATTAATTTTTCTACCAATCTTTGATATTGGTGAATATCAACTGGATTTCCCTCCTTGATATCTCCCAATTTCTGACTTGGGTCAATTGGAGTGTCTGCTGGTTTGCAGGCACTCATTCCAGTTTTCTGTAGAAGATCTAAAACATATTTCCTTTGTGAGACAACAATACCCTTCTTTGATCTAGCTATCTCCATTCCTAGGAATTTTTTTAAATTTCCTAGGTCTTTAATCTCAAATTCATGAGCAAGTTTGTCTTTCAATCTTTTAGTCTCTGTGTGATAATTTCCTGTGAGGATAATATCATCTACATAGACAATTAAGATTGCAATCTCCTCCTTACCTGAAAACTTCATGAATAAAGTATGGTCAGTTTGAGCTTGATTAAATCCTTGCTTCTTTATGAACTTTATGAATCTGTCAAACCAGGCTCTTGGAGACTGTTTAAGTCCATATAAAGCCTTCTCTAATCTGCAAACTTTTAACCCAAACTTATTTTCAAACCCAGGAGGAGGTTCCATGTTACACTTCTTCTTCAAGTTTCCCATTTAAAAAAGCATTCTTTACATCCAGTTGTTGTAATGGCCAGTCTAAATTGGCAGCAAGAGATAAAAGAATTCTTACAGTATTCAACTTTGCAACTGGTGCAAAGGTTTCTTTGTAATCAATTCCATAGGTCTGTGTGTACCCCTTGGCAACTAGTCTTGCCTTATACCTCTCCAAACTTCCATCTGCCTTAAACTTGGGGTTGAAAATCCACCTGCAACCAAATGTAGGTTTATTTTTAGGTAACTCTACAAGCTTCCATGTCTGATTCTTTTCAAGAGCCTCCATCTCCTCCAAAACAGCTCTCTTCCACTCAGGTTTATATAGGGCATCCTGTATGGTTGTAGGAATAGAAATAGAAGAGATATTGGAGGTAAAGGCTGCAAAGTCTGATGTCAATTTAGAATAAGAAACATAGTTTGAGATGGGGTATTTAACACATGTTCTTCTCTCTTTTCTGAGAGCAATAGGAAGGTCAAAATTGCTAGAAGTATTACCTTTTTCACTTCCTGACATTGAGGTAGAATCATGGACAGTTGTAGGTTCTTGGACTTCCTCTATTCTTTGATTTCTAACCCTTCTCTCATAAGTTTTTTCAAAGATTTGACTTGTCTGTTGATCCTTTTCAATTGGTTCAGTTGGATTTACTTCATTATTTTTTATTCCTTGATCATTTTCAGGTGTACTTATATTTCTAAAGAAATTATCATCCTGATTAATATCAAGAAAATTAAAATTTTCATGAATATTTGGCATTATAGGAACATCTTCACTTAATTTCTCGCCCTGAAGATGAGAATCAAAAAAAGGTTGTTCTTCCATAAAAATAATATCCATAGTAACAACCATTGTTTTGGTTGTAGGATCAAAACATTTATACCCCTTTTGAGTGGCAGAAACACCTAGAAAAACACATTTTTTTCCTCTAGGATCAAACTTACTTGCAGATCTATCTGGATTTTTGATAAACACCGTGCAACAAAATTTTTTTAAAGGAAGGGTGTTTACCAATCTATTTGTAGGAAAGAAGTGTTGTAGTAAACTAATAGGACTTTTAAATCCTAAAATTTTGGATGGCATGCGATTAATTAAATAAGTTGCATGTAACACTGCTTCTCCCCACAAATATTTTGGTATGTTTGTTGAAAACATGATTGCACGAGTGACTTCAAGCAAATGTCTATTTTTCCTTTCTGCAAGTCCATTTTGAGCTGGTGTATTGACACAAGAGCTTTGATGAATAATGCCTTTTTCAGTAAAAAAGTTGTTTAAAGTTTGAGAAAAATATTCACGGCCATTATCACTTCTTACCATTTTAATTTTGGTATTGAATTGAGTTTGGACCATAGCATAAAATGTTCTAAATATTTTCTCAACTTCAGATTTTTCTTTGATTAAAAATACCCATGTGACACGAGTATGATCATCAATAATAGTTACAAACCATCTCTTTCCCTTTAAAGTTGGTATTCTAGATGGACCCCAAATATCACTATGTACCAAGGTAAAAGGGCTAGTAGGTTTATAACTGTGGGGTAAATAAGTGTTTCTGTGATGTTTTGCAAGTGCACACATATCACAATTAAACAAAGAAGCATCTTTATTCAGAAATAATTGAGGAAACATCTTTTTTAAATAATAGAAACTAGGATGTCCTAGTCTATAATGAAGTAAATACAACTCTTTATTATTTGAAAAAGAAACAGTTTGCAAACAAGCATTTCTTAGACCTCTTTTATTAGATTGAGTTTCTCCATCAAAGATATAGAGTCCATCCTCCTCCTTAGCACTGCCAATCATATTCCCCGATGCTAGGTCCTGAAAAATGCAATGAGAAGGATAAAAAATGACACAACATTGTAGATCTTTAGTTATTTTACTAACTGAAGTAAGGTTGCAGGATAGATTAGGGACATGAAGGACTTTGGATAGATTCAATGATGAGGAAATACTAATATTTCCCATCCCTGCAATGGTTGATAGATAACCATCTGCAACCTTCACCTTTTTATCTCCTGCACTAGGTTTATATGAAGAAAAAAGATTTGAAATAGAAGTCATGTGATCAGTAGCCCCTGAGTCAATAATCCAGGTATTTTTAGATTTCCCAGAACAAAAAAATGATGAATAGGTACCATTTTGGGCATAAGAGCAAGAGGAAGATTCTGGTTTGGATTCTTTCTGGGAATTTTGGGTTTTCTGGGAATTAAGGAAGTTAAGAAGTTGCCCTATCTGCTCCTGAGTGAATGAAAGCTGATTGAACTTGACTTGTGGTTCTTGTTGAGTCTCAGTCACAGTTGTTTGTAGGGCCTTCTCAGTTTTTTTTTCCTGCCCCTGGTGGTTTGCCATGAATTTTCCAACAAGTCTCCCTAGTGTGCCATAATTTCTTGCAATGATCACACCAGGGTTTTTTCTTGTCATCACTCCTAGCCACCATTGCTGAAGAGTCCCCAGATTCCTCATTATGTACTGGAATGTTGTACATAACCTTCTTCCTGTTATCCTCCATCATGATTTCAGAAAATACCTCCCTGATAGAGGGTAGAGGTTTTTTTCCAAGTACCCTCCCCTTAACTTCATCTAGATCTCTATTAATTCTTGCTAGGAACATGTAAACCCTATCATTTTCCTCCCTTTTTTGTGTCTTGCTAGATCCTTGGCACTCTCCCACTTCTCATCATCATGACACTGATCCAACTCTAGCCATAGGGATACCATCTCATTGTAGTAAGAGATGATATCTCTATTGCCTTGTTTGGACTGCCACAACTTTGTTTTTAATTCAAAAATCTGAGAAGAGTTCTCAAGATCTGAGTAAGTTTCCTTAATGGAATTCCATACCTCCTTTGCAGTTTTCATGAACATGTGAGGTTTGGCAATTGATGCATCCATTGAACTTAGAAGCCATGCTGTCACCAAGGAATTTTCTGACCTCCAGACACTGTAGCCATCATCACCAGTTTGTTTCTCCTCTATTTCACCAGTTATGTACCCTAGTTTGCCCCTTCCATCAATAGCCAACTTGACAGACTGTGACCACTCGAGATAATTTGTGCCATTCAATCTATGGCCAGTAATGAGCATAGATGAATGGACTGAGTTCTGGTAGTTTGTCATTGAGCTATTTGGAGAGTTAGGGTTATGGGTCTGTGAGTGGGAAGAAGAGTCAGATTGTTCGGTTTCCACCATTGTGGTGTTTAAACAACCTGCTCTGATACCATGTAAGTTTTAGGAATAAAACTTCCTTGAATATTATTGAGCCATCCGGCAATGATATATATACAAGTTACAGATAAAGTCAAGTTGTTACAGATCCTAAAAAATAGGATCTATCTATTCTATCTATTCTGTGAGCTTATCTACTAATTAGAGAGTTCTATCTACTCTAATTCTTATCTACACAGTCCCGGATGTACAAGTAATTAAAATAACAAGAATATGTTACATTTTTCTACATCACTATGGGTCATCCGGACACAATCTCTCCTTGCTTTAGTACAAGGGTAAGACTGCGTACATCCGACCCCCCTTACCCTACTGTAGTTGGGAGCCTTTGCGGCACTGGGGTAATGATATTGAATGATGAAATGCAGTTTTTCTCTTTTGGCTTGTATTTGAGTTATCCTTATTTGGAAATTAGGACGAGAGACCTTCTTGGAGGCGTCAACTAAGTCATATCACTATATCAGTTTCATCCTTACTAGCTTTGACTCAGTAGTTGTAGTTGATATCATTCTATCATAATTTTGGATTCATTTAAGGTGATTTGGTTTGTTTTATTGTATTAGGAACTTCATGTCTTTGTGTTCAGGCAGTCGATTTATTGACTTCCATGCGTTTGTGATAGGTGATGTTGAAATATAAACCACAATGATATTAAGAATGGAGAGAAAGATTTTCTGTGTATTTCATTGGAGGGTTAAGTCCCTATATATATACATTACAAAGATAGAATATGCCTATAAGATTCTATACAATAATAATATCCTAGAGTATATTCCTAAAATATTCTAAAGCATATTCTAAAGATAGAAAAATATTCTAAAGCATATTATAAAGTATATTCTATTCTAATGTCTTTCACACTCCCCCTCAAGTTGGAGCATAGATATTTATCATGCCCAACTTGTTACATAAATAACCAACACGAATTCCATTTAGTGCTTTAGTGAACAAATCCCCAAGCTGCTCTCCAGTTTTCACAAATCCTGTAGAGATCAATCCTTGTTGTATTTTTTCTCGAACAAAGTGACAATCGACCTCAATATGTTTTGTTCTCTCATGAAACACTGGGTTGTTGGCAATGTGTATAGCAGCTTGGTTATCACACCAGAGTTTAGCAGGCATCGGTGTCTTCAATCCGATTTCACTCAATAAATGGTTTATCCGGATTATCTCACATGCCGATTGTGCCGTAGCCTGATATTTTGTTTCAACACTCGAACGAGAAACCACATTCTGCTTCTTACTTTTCCAAGAAACGAGATCACCACGAACAAAGACGCAATAGCCAGATGTGGATCTTCTATCATCTTTAGATCCAGCCCAATCAGCATCTGCAAAGCATTCTATTCTCATGTGATTATGATTTTGATAAACAATACCTCGTCCTGGTGTCCCCTTCAAGTAACATAATATATGCTCTACAGCATTCCAATGATCAACTGTCGGAGATGACATATATTGACTTACTACACTCACTGAGTACGCAATATCTGGACGGGTAACTGCGAGATAATTAAGCTTTCCAATCAACCTTCTATATCTTTCCGGATCTTCAAATGGCACGCCTTCATGAGTGAGCTGCACATTGGGAATCATGGGAGTATTGCTCGGTTTTGCCCCTAATTTCCCTATTTCAGTTAGCAAGTCAAGCACATATTTACGTTGAGATAGAAATATGCCTTTCTTACTCCGTGTAACCTCAATCCCCAAGAAGTATTTCAATGAGCCCAAATCTTTCGTCTGGAATTGACTATGAAGAAAATTCTTAAGGGCCAAAATACCTGCATTATCACTCCCTGTATTCACAATATCATCAACATACACCACAAGCAATGTGATACCTGCTTTCGTTTGTCTGTAAAATACAGAGTGATCCGATTTTCCTTTGATCATTCCAAACCGTTCAATTGATTGACTGAATTTCCCGAACCATGCACGGAGACTCTGTTTCAAACCATAAAGAGACTTGCTAAGTCGACAAACTTTTGCATACTCCCCCTGAGCAACAAACCTCGGAGGTTGCTCAATATAAACTTCCTCCTGAAGATCACCGTGCAGGAATGCATTTTTAATGTCCAACTGATGTAAGTGCCAACCATGAGTTGTAGCGAGAGAAATACGTAACCTGACAGATGTTAATTTAGCAACTGGAGAAAAAGTGTCAGAATAATCAACACCATAGGTTTGAGCATAACCCTTCACAACTAATCGGGCTTTCAACCGAGCAACAGATCCGTCTGGGTTAACCTTAACAACAAAGACCCACTTACATCCAATAGACTTTTTCCTTGTAGGCAAGTCTACCAAATCCCAAGTACCATTAAGATCCAAAGCATTCATTTCCTCTATCATGGCATGACGCCATTCAGGATGAGACAAAGCCTCTTTAACAGATTTGGGAACAGAAATAGAATCAATGGAAGCAATAAAAGAACATGAGGCAGGGGATAACTGACTATACGACACAAATGAAGAAATAGGATAAGTACAAGATCGTGTACCTTTACGTAGTGCTATTGGGAGGTCAAGATCTGATGTAGAGACAAGATCTGATGATGCAGGTACTGGTTCAAGACATGAGATCGAAGTCAGACTAGTATCAGGATAAATAATCACAGGTGTCGCCGGTGGAGGGTGATCAGGTGCTTTGTGTCGACGGGTGTATACCAAGTGTACAGGAGGCCTAAGGTCAGGAACAGTAACTTGTGGAATACTTGTCGAAAGTGTGGACTCGGGAATAGTCATCGTGTAAATGAGTATATCATCATTATTCTCATGAATATCTGCCTTAGATGATGAAAAAGGTGTATTTTCGTGAAATGATGCATCAATAGAAACAAGATACCGACCTGTACTCAGACAAAAACATCTATACCCCTTTTGGACTCGAGAATAACCCAAGAAAATACATTTTAATGATTTGGGATCTAGCTTTGTAAGATGAGGATTAACATCTCTAACAAAACAAGTGCAACCAAATATTTTAGGTGGGATAGGAAAAAGCTCTTTGTTTGGAAATAGACAATGATAAGGAGCTTTACCATTCAAAACAGAAGATGGCATACGATTTATCAAAAAACATGCAGTAGACACGACATCAGCCCAAAACAGTTTAGGTACATTCATTTGGAATAGAAGAGCCCTTGTAGTTTCTAACAGATGTCGGTTCTTTCGTTCTGCAACCCCATTTTGAGGAGGTGTGTCAACGAATGAAGTTTGATGCATAATGCCATGCTGAAGCATACATGACTTAAATGTAACAGATAGATATTCTTGGGCATTGTCTCCTCTTAACACCCGAACAGGAATGTTAAACTGAGTTTTAATTTCAGCACAAAAGGAAGAAAAATGAGTGAACAACTCAGATCGACGTTTCATGAAATATAGCCATGTCATACGAGAATAGTCAATCAACAAAGGTAACAAAATATTTAAAACCAGCTTTAGACACAACCGTGCAAGCACCCCAAACATCAGAGTGAACAAGGTCAAATGGAGCATTGGCTCGTTTATTAACTCGAGGGCTTAAGCTAGTACGATGGTGTTTCGCAAATTGACATGACTCACATTGTAAAGAGGTCATCTTATTGAATTGGGGATTTATTTGCTTCATTAATGGGAGAGATGGATGTCCTAATCGGTAATGAGCCTCTAACAAAGTCCCGACCCCAAGACAAGAGATACCTTTTGTGATTGATGTATCCAAAATATAAAGACCAGCTGACTCATGTCCTTTACCAATAGTCTGCTTCGTTAACAGATCCTGAAACACACAATATCCAGGAAAAAATGTTAAAAAACAATTAAGAGTACGCGTGATTTTGCTGATGGAAAGCAGATTAAATGAAAAATTAGGAAGACTCAGAACATGTGATAATGGTAGTGTAGAAGTTGGGACAACAGTACCAGATCCAAGAACATGTGAGGTTGATCCATCAGCTAAAGTGACACTAGAAGTAGGTAAATATGAATGAAATGATGAAAATAGATTAAGATTACCAGTCATATGATCTGTGGCACCTGAGTCAATGACCCATTTCGAGGATGAGGAAACAAGACATGTGTTTGAAATACTTGGATTAGCGACTACCGAGATAGGGACAGATGAATGCTTTAGAAATTCTTGGTAGGAAATAAATTTGGCATATTCGTCTGAAGAAACAACAATTGCTCTATCAGATGAACTGGTAGTGGAAGCAACATAACCAAGCTGATTTCCTTGATTCTTGAATAGCAATTTCCTACATTCTTTGATGAAGTGCCCGGGCTTCTTGCAGTAATTGCATATTACTCCTTTGTCAAATTGTCTGGTACAATAAATTTTTTTTAACTCTTTTTTTTCGATTTTTTTTTGATTTTTTTTTTGATTTTTTTTTTGATTTTTTTGATTTTTTTTTGATATTTTTAGGTTAAAAGAAAAATTGAATAAAATAAAAACTTGAAATGAAAACTGGACTCACCGCAGCTTTGGATTTAAAATTTGGAGAATAAAATATCCAACTTGGGCTTTTTTATTGCTGCGCTCCAAACTTAACGCGCAGATCTGATGCAAGATCCCAGCAGATAGCACATGCGAACAATCACCTGCGAACGACCCCAGCAGGAACGGATGTCTGGAGATATGCGAGACCCAGCGATCGACCAACCACCAGACCTCCTATCACTATCTTCCCTTTCTAGAGAAAGAACAAAAGAGAAGAAAAGTATACCTGGGGTAGAGGCGATGGCAGAGCTAGCTGGTGAGGCTGAGATGGTCCAAGCTCAACTGCGTCGGGAAGTCGAGGCGATATTTATGAACGGCCGGCGACGTTGAAGCACAATCAGATTAGCTGGTGATCTATTGATCTGATGGCAGCGCACCAGAATAGAGGTGAGATAGGTAATTGATTGAAGCTCGCCTGGAATATGGTCGGGTCTGGAGGAGATGGGGGATTTGGACTGTACTAAGGTTCTGAAAGGTTCTGAAATAGAGGTTCTGTAGAGGATCTGTCTTGAGGTTCTGAAGAATCTGAAAAACTGAACACAAGTTCCTGAAGAATCTGAAAACTGAAATCCCTGAAGAAGAATTTGGAGACAGACCAGTGTCTGAATGTTCTGAATAATCTAAAGACTGAACTCAGGTTCTTGAGAATTCAGTCTGAAAATCAAACTCAAATCTGAAAAACTAAACTAAAATGGAAGGCTCTGATACCATGTTGAAATATAAACTACAATGATATTAAGAATGGAGAGAAGGATTTTCTGTGTATTTCATTGGAGGGTTAAGTCCCTATATATATACATTACAAAGATAGAATATTCCTATAAGATTCTATACAATATTAATATCCTAGAGTATATTCCTAAAATATTCTAAAGCATATTCTAAAGATAGAAGAATATTCTAAAGCATATTATAAAGTATATTCTATTCTAATGTCTTTCACAGGTGACATGCATTAAAAATGGAATGTTGGACAGCATGTGTGACACGTTCCAAAATACGAGTCGACCAGAAATAGCAAACATACGATCTGAGAATCATTCTGATTTTATATCCAATAATGTTGAATCACCATCATTGTCACCTAGTAGGAATGGGCCCATTCTGCCTCAAAAACTTGTGGAACCTGAGCATGGTGAGATTGTATTTATCTAATATTCTTCTTGGTGTGTTTCTATCTGTCTGAGGTCTTATGTTAAGCACTAAATTTCTATTTTGGCTAGCTTACGTTGGAGAATTACTTCAAAAAGCAGTTCAATATAACATTAACTGTTAAACATGAACAGTTGAACAAAACTTTAACTGTTACTCCAAAAATGCGCACTCTCAAATTTCTTTACCTTTTTAGTGAAGTGTTTTTTGTGCACCAACTGTTATGCCACTTTATACTCTCACAGTGACATGAGAACAAATTTACGTCTCTGCATGTCTGTGTGAGATTGGTGTAAAAGTTAGTGTAGAACTTAGGATGTTTTTAGTTTAATTGATTTCAGTCTCAGACCAGACCGGATTTAGACAATAATAAAATACACATTAAACATACATTCCACTAGAGCAAACCAGTTCAGACTTAAAGAGATCATCCCAGAAAATTTCAGTCCAATTAAAAACATCTTTAATAAACATATGCTGTTGTTTTCTCTTTTACTGCTGATCTGCAGATCCCACTTTACTTAAAATCTTGTATGTTTTAATAGGTGTCTCAGTTGAGGACATTGTGGGCAAAATTTCTGCATATCTTGAGGTCGTCAATGACAGAGTTAGTTCATCCAAGGATAAGTTCACTCTCTTGAGGAAACTATGCAAGCTTGAATCTTGGATGACGGATGAGTTCTCTTGTAAGGGATTTGAGTCACTTGGCTATGGGGATATTTGGTCATTCATGAAAAAACATATGCATGTTTTTTTAAATGCTTTGCGGAAGAGCTTGATAAGTGATAATCATCAGAGTCTTCCTCTGAAGGCCTCCATGCTTGAGCTTCAGCTGGATGTCTTGATATCACAGGCTTTGCACCGTTTATTGGATGATGGAAAGTTAAACTTGCAAAAGGTTTTTGAGTTGCTAGCAAGACAATTTCCATTGGTATGTTTTCAGCAGATACATAGTAATTTGTTGGTAGACTTTGATGAGAGTAAAAAGGAGAAAGGCACCACAAGCTCAAATTGCATAATATTTTCTGAAACTTTGTTGAAAGCTGATGGGTTGAATAAAAGTGGGACAAATTACTTAGAAATTTCTGGTTTGGAATTTAGTACAGGCATTAATGCTTGTTCTCAAAGTCTGTTAACATCCAAAGATGTTATCCAGGTTTTGCTCAATGCTCCAATGCTTACAGATCTAAGATTATGGTCTCACTGGGACATTGCTTTTGCTCCTTCACTTGGCTCTCTTGTTGGTTGGTTATTGAAAGAGGTTAATACAAAAGAGTTGTTGTGTTTGGTGACAAAAGGTGGAAAAGTAATTCGGGTAGATCATGCAGCTACGGCAGATTCTTTCTTAGAAGTTCTTTTGCAAAAATCTCCTTTTGAAACTGCTGTGAAGCTGACATCTTTGTTAACTTTATATGGGGGTGAACAAAATTTTCCTGCAGCCCTCCTGAAATGCTACGCTCGCAAGGCGTTTGAAGTTTTTTCAAGAGATACTCAGCATTTGGATTCAATTGATGATCAAAGTATGCTAAGTGAAGTAAATAGTGATTTACTGAAAAGTAAGAGCAGTCTTGATAAATCAAAGGCTGTTGCATCGAGGTTTATCATAGACTGTTTGGACTATCTACCTCTTGAGTTCTGCCCTTTTGCTGCTGATATCTTGCTCTCTGGCTTGCAGCAGTTTGCCAAAGATGCTGCTTCAGCTGTGCTGGATGAATGCAAAATGATCAAACACCGTGTCATGCTTCATGACATTGGGTTTTCACTTGGTGTTGTGGAATGGGTTGATGATTACCACAAATTTTCTGCATCTGTATTGGCCACTAGCTTATCTATGCATTCTGAATGTTCTTACCTACAAGACATCATGCCTAATTTAAACTCCAATACAAATTGGTTGCAAGCTGTATCAACCATAAGTGCCTCTTCTAAAGTTAATATCTCCCCTCAAACAACACAACATAATGGTGATCAGGGAGAAATGAGTCAAACTATTAATGTTGCTTCTGTTGCCGTTAATTGTTCGGGTGTGGGTCCTACGAATCAGTTGTATGACCTCAGTCCAGCCCAAGTTATCGAATCTATAAGGCAGGAAGAATTTGGTTTGAATCCAGATATTTCATGTATTGAAAGTGAAATGTTGGATAAGCAACATGCTCGGTTAGGGAGAGCACTCCAGTGTCTCTCACATGAGCTGTATTCCCAGGATTCACATTTTCTTTTGGAACTGGTAAGTATGTTCTTTGCATTCTCCATCTGTTTTCAGTTTCAGTAACGTGCATCCATGTGGAACTGGCATGTTATCTACATGCTTATTGTAGTATTTACTACTTTAGCTTTATTCTTTTGGTAAAAAATACTTTCTGTGGGCTCTGCTTTTATGTGTCATGATGCCGTCATCGTGATTAGTGAGGACATAGTTACAAAAAACTATATGGCCGTAATACTTTCAAGATCATTTAAGCGCCAATAATATTGAAAATACTTTGTAGTAAAAGTAAATTCAGACACATGCCTATATTGGCTGGTATGACTTATTCACAACTTCATGTCATTTTACTTTTTTGAAGAAAGTAACCTTAAATATTTTTATTAATCAAACAATGAATGCAGGAGGGAAAATAGTCTAAACTTTACGATCAGACATAGGAACAGCTACTCGTGTTAGGGAATGAGCAATCCGATTCGCAGATCGTCGAATATAAGCAAAACTAATATTAGCAAAGCTAGCTTCTAAAGCTTTTATGTTGTCCAAAATGAGCCCATAAGCTGAGGACTCGCTTCCTTTCAGAAGGCCATCTATAAGTTGAGAAGCATCGGACTCGACATCCACAAAATCACGGCCTAAACCATGTAACCAGCTCAGAGCTTCTCTTACGCCCAACACTGTAGCTTTTTTCACAGTTACCGCTCATTTCCAAGGCATGGAGTCACCTGCATTAAAAGAGCCCAATGAATCTTGAAAAACCCAAACAAGTCCCCTTTTCTCCTCCTCTGACAGGGCATTGCATCAATGTTCAGTTTCAGTCTTCCGATAGCCGGACTGAACCACCTTCCTGCTGCAATACTCCCTGACCTAACACTTGCTATTCACATGCCAATTATGTCCTAGCCCTAATAGGCTAATACTAAATGTGATGTCAATTATTTAGTATCTTAACGGAAATTCGTATACTGTCATATTCCATGATTTGCTATTTTATTTTTACAATGTTAATCATATAATATAATGAACATGACAATAGCAAATAACTTAACTCATCACCATTTTATGATATTTTCCATGCATATGTAAATAACCTACGATGATCACTGACTGTTTTAGAAATTTAATTTCATTATTCCATCTTAACAAGACAGTGACAAGTGTGAATCCGTGAAATCATTGCCACTGCTTTTTGGCATGAATTCATACTTCAGTCTTAACTAGTGTTATGCAATTAGTTGGCACAAGGTTAGCACAATACATAGTTACATCACGATGCTAAAATATGATATTCTTCACTGCTATGGTGCTGCTGTTAGCTGTCGACTATTATGGTTTCTTTTAACTGTGGATGCTACGGTCTTATGGGCAAGTAGTAACTTATAACAGCATAGCTCCATCGAACAACGGGACAATAAGCCTTCTTATTACCTTATCAACACTTAAACACACGTCCTCAAATATACTACTCTCATCAACAACTAAACTATTCTAGTTCACCTAACATCTTACATTGTTTCCTTAAAAAACATCTTACATGTTTGGAACTTTGGACCAATTCGTTCATTTGTTGTACCAAATGAACATATAATTTAAACCTCAACCATGTTTGTGGAACATATCCACACCTTAAAAATTAGTGGGTAGCTAGCAGCTAGCTACAATGCACAGAAACATTGAGAGTGTTATCCCATTCCCAAAACGTTGAAACATTTCCTAACTCCTGAAATTCTGAAAACGCATTTCAAGCCCGTTTTGGTAGTATTAGAAAAATGAAACACGTCTGTTATTAAAATCAGCATTTCAGAAATAAACAGAGGAATCACTTCTTTTCTAATATTTACCCTACATATTGCTATTGTACAACCGGAGACTTCTTATCATGTTTATATATATATATATTTGCTTTTAGTCTTACCAGTGACGGAGTAGTCAAAAAGTACTTTACATTTATATATTTAATTAATTATTTACTGCTTTTCATGTTGCCGCAGACTAGCAGATTAGTCCCAAGTATGTTTGGGTTTATTCTTTAATCTTTATTTGGTATGGACTAGTATGCGTGTGCACACACATAGTAGCATTCATATTAAACCAGCTTGACAGAAATCCTATCAGGCCAATATCAATTTTGGCTGAAAATAACGTTTATGATCTGTTCTTTGTTCAACATATCATTTGGTAAAATAGTATGAACTATTATTTTCAAACTTTAGATCATTTTTTTTTAACTTTTTCGGAGTTTAAATCTGATTCTTATGATGAATTAGTATGAACGTTAGAGGTAAAAAAGTGAGGTTGAAGGGTCTACATTTGAACAAAATTAAGATCTAACAGTTGAAACTAATAACTGATACTAACGAACACAAAATATTGGATCATAAACTTCATTCTGGACCAAAAATGAAGTTGGCCTGACGAGATTCTCTTCAGGCTGGCCTGATATGAACATTACTCATTGTGTGTGTGTGTGTATATATATATGCACATGTTAATGTGTATATGTGCGCGCGTGTATGTATGCATATGCATATGTATATTAGTATGTGTATTCACACATAAACACAAAAATTTATTCATATATATATGTATATTATATGTAATTATGTACATACCTACCTACCCACCTTCCTGCATACCCTATAACTTTTCATATTTCCACGTTTCACTGTGTTTGTGCTACGCAGGTTGCTAGTGTTGCTCTTTCCAACCCGTGAAGGATAACCTTTCAAACACCTAATTAGATCAATCTAACAAAGCATCTAACCTTTCTTTGGAGCTTTATCCTTGAAGTTTTATTATATCATCAGTTATGGTAAAAGCCATGTGCATACAGTTTAGTGTATTATCTGCTTTTATGAAACCCAAAACACAGCTGGTTCAGAATTAATTGAATTGTTAGTATTTTAGATGAAATGGGTGCACAAAGGTTACATACTAATGTAACATATTCAAATTATATTCCCAAATTTGTACTCAGCTTTCATTAAACTGATTTTTTCCTTGCCGTTATAGCTTTCGATTTTAGAATCTTCGACCAGTTCGAACAGGAATAATAATGTAACTCTGGACAATGTGTGGTTGATTCAGGTTCAGAACGCTGATGACAACATCTACCCTGGAAATGTTGAGCCCACATTGACATTCATTCTGCAGGATAGGGGCATTGTAGTGCTAAATAATGAGCAGGGGTTCTCTGCCAAGAACATCAGAGCACTTTGTGATGTCGGAAATTCCACGAAGAAAGGGCTTAGCTCTGGATATATTGGGAAGAAAGGCATTGGTTTCAAATCTGTGTTTCGGGTATAGCACATTCTTGCAGCTGATAATTTGCTAATCACCCGGAGTTTTCTATTTTACACTGAAATCTTTGGCTTGGTATATAGAATAGTGTGGGTTTTAGAGTAAAATATACTTAATACTGTGCAGAAGTAGCTTCTAGTAAAAACTAAAATAATTTACTTCCCTAAAAGCTGCCATTTTCATGTTACTATACCTTTTTGTCAAAAGCACTATATCTACAAAAAGTAACTTTATTTGCAAGGACAAGATACTTACAAATTGCAATAGAAATGTACTCCTGGTACCTATTTAAGTTCCTAGTTTGACTTCACGGGTTTTAAGATGTAAAAACTTTTGGTGATGACTTTCCACTTATACCCTCCACAAATTAATTACCCCTCGGTACTGTAAAAACAGACAGGGAATATGAATTAGCCTCAATCAAAATCTCTGTTATTTTCCGGTGGAGAGCTTCCAATCCATGAGCCGTCATAGTTGCACCAACCCGTGCTATCGTTTACAACAGCGCAACCGATGGGAAAAGGGGGAGATTAGGCGACGCCCGTGAGAGGGACGCGAGTCCACCGCGGCTAGAGGATGAGTGAAATCAGGTGGTAACCTATGGTGCACCGATACTTCACCCCGATGTCGTATCCGCGTATCCGATACGTATCAAATACTGATACTCACCAATACACGTCCTGTACGTATTGGGTCCGTATCCGTAATTTAATAAAAGTATTAGACTTATTTTTTAAAATATGGATACTTCTGATACCCATATCTGTGAATCGATACGCGTATACCACAACAACATCCAAGCCTTAGTCCCAAAAGATATTGGGGTCGTCTAACGTGAATCGATACATGATATTTCGATTCATGTCATGTGATGTGACTAGGTGATACTGTTGACCGTCACACGCCTACCACAACACCCTCCTTCTTTATCCTGGCTTGGGACAGACATGATACCAAAAATGATATCATGGCTTGAACCGATACGCGTATCTAACCCTATAATCCTGATTTCATACATGACATGATGAAAATTTAGTAGCCACCCAAGTGACCACAAGATGTGGAATATTAGTAAAGATGATTTCGGGAGTATAGAAAACATTGAAATGCTATAATTTGCCAATTTGTCGCTTGATGGGCATTAATTGAAATCAGCCATGTTAAAAGACTTGGATGTAAATGCAAATAGAGAACCAAAAATATTATTTGAATTTAAATCGAAATATTAATACTTACGCTTCTTTCGACTAATCTTTGAGATTTTATTATAATTGTTAATTTTTGGTACTGTTGTTATTTTATTTTTGAATCTCTGAATTATATATATTTGCAAATTATACCCTATATTATTATTTATAAATATACCCCTATATTTTCCCATCATTTGCAATGGAGCCAAAGATTCATTATTTTTTGGCTTGAGATTATGATGGAATAAAGCAAAATGGCTCAATAATCTGTCTGCGCTTCTTTGTTATGAAGCAGCAGTCAGTCCATGCAATTTTGGACGGGATTTTTCACTATGGGTCATCCGGAAACAGTCTCTCTATGCTTTAGTACAGGCCTACAGGGGTAAGACTGCGTACATCCGACCCCCCCTTACCCCACTGTAGGTGGGAGCCTTTGCGGCACTGGGGTAAATGAAAATGAAAATGGAATGACCCCCATACGCGTATCCTATAATTTTTGAAGTTGCCGTATTTCCGTACCCGTATTTGCGTATCGGCGTATCGATGTATCCGTATCCGTGCAACATAGGTTGTGGCCATGGAGGGATTTCTGGGCGGAGGCTGAAATCAGACCTACTGCACACACCGGGTTGTTGTTTCTTGGTTCCGTAATCTCACTATTCTCCAATACGATACCAACTCTGCTGTAGATAGGGCGTGGTGGTTTGCTCTGAACTTAGGCGACGGCGTGATTTAAAATAGGTGTTGCAGGCTTGCAGCGATGGCCAATGGGGGCTCTGCTATTCTCTTTTGCTCATGAATCTCTCTTGCTGCGATGCTTTATAATTTAGAATAGGAGAAGGTGCAATTGTGTCAGGAGAGATTGAGGGTTAATAAATAAGAGGGTAGTTTAGTAAGTTCACAATAAAATTTTGCCTAATAAGGAAAGCTGAGCTTAAATGTGGGACATCCGGAAAAGGAAAGTGAGAGCTTAATGTTAAGGGCCCTGGTACATGATCTTGTCCAAGGCCGTTGATAATGAAAGACGGGATCTGAAGCTATGATCATCATTTTCATTTTCATTTACCCCAGTGCCGCAAAGGCTCCCACCTACGGTGGGGTAAGGGGGGGTCGGATGTACGCAGTCTTACCCCTATACTAAAGCACAGAGAGACTGTTTCCGGATGACCCATAGTGAAAATCGCGTCCAAAATTGCATGGACTGACTGCTGCTTCATTACAAAGAAGCGCAGACAGTTTACTGAGACATTTTGCTTTATTCCATCATAATCTCAAGCCAAAAAATAATGAATCTTTGGCTCCATTGCAAATGATGGAAATGATCTGAAGCTATGATGTTGGAGTAAAAAACCCTAACTTCCTGCCCTGGGCAAGGAAGGTGATTTCTGGCTCCACCAGTAAATCAAGAGACTAATTAATCCAAACTTAATACTTTATTCAAACTGATAAGCCTTATATAGGCAGAAATAAGGTCCCTAAATAAGGAAACAGATCTAAATTATTACAGACTCATTAATAAGAGATTGCCTAAAATAAGGAAGGCTAGATAAATGGAAATAACTGTGATAAGGAAAGCAGAATAAAAGAAAACAATTGGAATAACTAAAGGGAGATAATTAGGAAAGCTTGTGGACAATTAATTAGGCCCCTTTTATGCGCTTCTGGTACACACGACCAAAACGACGTGTATCATCACTCCCTCCATTAGCAACAAGCTTGTCCTCAAGCTTGAAATCTGGAAATGTCTCCCGAAATGTAGCATAATTCTCCAAGGTGGCCTCAGCTTCCAGTTTACCCTCCCAATGTACCAATAGCTCATACTGACCATTGTTGTGGCGAACCTGCAAAACAGCTAAGGGACGAACCAGAAGTGGTTCAACCGCGAGTGGTGGCAGTTCACCCATTCCTGCTGGTGTGGGACCTGAGTGAGGTTTCAGAAGGGAGACGTGAAACACATTATGAATGCGGGTACCCGGTGGCAAAGTCAGGCGGTAGGCTGCGAGTCCAATAGCGTCTGAAACTTGAAAAGGCCCAAAGAACATTGGCAAAAGTTTGTGGTGATCACGGCTAACTGTGAGTTGCCTGTAAGGGTGAGTGCATAGCCAAACCCAATCTCCTGGAGCGAAGGTTACCTCACGATGGCCTCCATCATATTTTAGATTTGTAGCTTCATTCTTTGTTGAGCTTGAGTCAGACGGCCTTTAGCAGCAGTGAGGATGGCATAGACAAGCCGAAATGGAGTATCTCCAAGGGAGGAGTGGTAGGAAGTATTGTAGCAATACTCAACCCAAGGCAACCAGCGTACCCAATCTCGGGGTCTATCACTTGTGAGGCATCGAAGAAACATTTCAACGGTGCGATTGACAACTTCTGTCTGACCATCAGTTTGTGGATGATAGGCAGAGGAGAAAGCCAACTTTGTACCGATAAGGCGGAATAATTCCCTCCAAAAAGTACTGACAAAAATTTTATCACGATCTGAGACAATGGACTCAGGCAACCCATGAAGTCGGAATATTTCCGTGAAAAAAACTGCAGCAACAGACATGGCAGTGAATGGATGACTCAAAGCAAGAAAGTGAGCTGCCTTAGAAAGCCGGTCCACCACCACAAGAATGACTGATTTGCCCCGGACTTTGGGTAGGCCTTCAATAAAGTCCATCGAGATGTCCGCCCAAATATGAGTAGGAATAGGCAGCGGTTGTAGTAGGCCAGCTGGTTGTGTGTTAAGCCACTTGTGTTTTTGACATACCTGGCAATCTCGTATATAGCTAGCCACCTCACGATTCATCCCTTTCCAGTAAAATTCCCGACGGATGCGTTTTAAGGTTTTTTCAACTCCTTCGTGCGCCATTGAATGAAATATAGATATTATGGCTGGAACAATGTCAAAGGATGGCAGCGGATATACCTTATACCGATAAAACAATAGCCACTCACGGTATTCCCATTCAGAACCCAAACTGCCAGATTCAATTTGATGACGTAACTGGAGGATCTCGGGGGACTTTGCTTGAGCCTTGCGGATATTGTCCAGAAGAGATGTGTATGGAACAGAAAGGGCAGCAATGTATGTTTGATCTTCATGGCAGCGTGATAAGGCATCGACTGCAATATTGTGTTTGCCCGGTTTGTACTCAACTTTGAAATCATAACCCATAAGCTTGCTCAGCCAATGTTGTTGAGGAGAGGTGGTGAGCCGCTGGTCCAGCAGGTGCTTAAGGCTAGAATGGTCTGTGCGTATCAGGAACTCCCGGCCCCATAGATATGGACGTCAATGTATGACTGATTTAGCTAGTCCAATAAGTTCCCGTTCATAAGCTGCCAACGTAATGTGTCTGGCTGCAATTTTGCGGCTGAAATATGCTATTGGATGTCCTTCCTGCTGCAAGACTGCACCAAACCCGCTCCCAGAAGCATCACATTCAATAAGAAAAGGTTTAGTAAAATCAGGTAACTCGAGAACTGGGGCAGTGGAAAGGCAATGCTTGAGATTATTAAAAGCCGAGTCAGCTTCGGGGTTCCAGTCAAAAGAGTTCTTCAAAAGTTGAGTGAGAGGGGCTGTGATGGTGCCATAGTTCTGGATGAACTTGCGATAATAACTTGCGAGTCCAAGGAAACCGCGTAAAGTAGTTAGGGTTTCTGGTACAGGCCAATTACGGACAGCCGCGACCTTGGTTTGATCGACTTCAACACCGCCATTATGGATAACATGTCCCAGATAATCTACTCTTACTTCCACAAAACTGCATTTGGAATGTTTCAAGAACAAACCATGGGCACGCAAGAGTTCAAAGACCAACTGTACATGGTGTACATGTTCTACCCAAGTCTTGCTATAGATGAGAATATCATAAAAAAAGACAAGCACAAATTTGCGAAGATATGTTCCAAAAATATCATTCATCAAGCTTTGGAAGGTGGAAGGTGCATTAGTTAGACCAAAGGGCATTACCAGAAATTCGAAGTGGCCGTGGTGTGTACGGAACGCTGTTTTAGTCACGTCTTCAGGAGCCATGCGTATCTGGTGATACCCGGAACGAAGGTCTAATTTAGTGAAGAAGCGGGCCCCATGCAGCTCGTCCAGTAACTCATCTATCACTGGAATTGGATATTTATCTTTGATAGTGCGAGCATTGAGTTCACGATAATCCACACAGAAGCGCCATGTATTATCGTGCTTTTTTACCAAAAGAACAGGAGACGAGAAAGGGGACTGACTCCGTTGAATGATTCCTTGTTCCAGCATTGTGGTGCACTGCAGTTTGCTTTCATCTTTCTGAATGTAGGGATATCGGTAGGGCCACACTACCACAAGTTCAGCACCTGAGATCAGTGTAATACGATGGTCACATGATCTAGAAGAGGGCAGACCCACGGGCTCACGAAAGAGGTCAGTAAAGTTGCCCAAAAGTGCTTCCAGTATAGCATGCTCTGTGCCCGGTGATAAGGCGGCCATGCTGATCGGCCCAGATCTGAAGTTTTGGCCATGCCATTCAACACGTTTGTTGGACCAGGAAAAGTTCATTGTGAGCTGGGAGAAGTCCCATATAATAGATCCCAAACTGTGAAGCCATTATACTCCTAAAATCATATCAAAGCCAGCTAAAGATAAGACATAGCAGTCAGCTCGGAAGTTGATGGCGAGGACTGTGAATTTCAGATTAGGGATTCTGCCCACATTCGGAACTCGTTCACCATTGGCCACAGGAACAAATAAATGAGACGGTTGAAGCGTAGGAAACTCAAATTGCTTGACAACACGCTCATGAATAAAGTTATGGGTGCTGCCAGAGTCTACCAAGATCGTGATTGGGATTCCTTGAATAGTTGCTGCAATCTGCATAGTGGTTGCAGACCCCAATCCGGTCATAGCATGCAATGATAAGGCCATGTCGTGTTCAGCTACGTGAATAATCACGTCCTCCTCGTCATCTAATATCTCCGATGCAAAGAGTTGCTTGCAACGGTGTCCACGAACATATTGTTCATCACAATGATAGCAAAGGCCTTTAGCTTGATGGCTGGCGGCCTCGGCTCTAGAAATCCGTCGACCCCAAGGAAGAGCCTGTTGGGTGCGGTCAACGGTCTGCCGCGATTCAGAAGTTACAGAGCTGCCGTGAGACATTACAGGAGGTGGGTTCTGTCGTGGTTGGAGTCTGTGTGACACGATTGAAAGAGGTGTCATAGTTTGTTGCTTGCGTTCAATTTGTCGAGCCAGACTCATTGCAACCTCCAAGCTGCCAGGTGCTTGAAATTCAAGTTCTAAACGGACATCAATACAAAGTCCTGCCATGAAGGCGTTGACCTCAAATTGGCTGGGTAAGCCGTCAATGCGTGCTAGTAGTCGTTGGAACGAACTAATGTATTCGTCAACGGTGCCGGTTTGTTTGAGTTGAAAAAGATCTCTAGAAGGATTAGAGCTTAATGAAGGGCCAAAACGGAGAAGACAATTCTCTGAAAATGTTTTCCATGAGATGCCTGATTGGAGTTTGTCAGCCCAAAGTTGAGCATCGCCCACCATGTGGAAGGTGGCCAAGCCCACACGTGCCATTGGAGCTATTTGTTGGTGCGCAAAGAACCGCTCACAGCGTTTCAACCAACTCAGAGGGTCCCCTGTACCGTCAAAGGATGGAAATTCAAGTTTGGAATAGCGAGGAACCATACTGGAATCACCACGGTCACGATTTTGGTTGTCATCGTTTGAGCTTGTAGATCTGCTTCTCAATGCGGTGAGTTGCGAAGAAAAAGAATTCATCATATCAGTAATCTTTGCCTCAAGAGTCCCTTGTCTCTGGTTGATGTCTGCCATGAAAGTTTTGAAGGTTTCAACATTAAGAGTTTTGTTGCCCATCACTGGGCTCTGATACCTAATTGTTAAGGGCCCTGGTACAGGATCTCGTCCAAGGCCGTTGATAATGAAAGACGGGATCTGAAGCTATGATGTTGGAATAAAAAACCCTAACTTCCTGCCCTGGGCAAGGAAGGTGATTTCTGGCTCCACCAGTAAATCAAGAGACTAATTAATCCAAACATAATACTTTATTCAAACTGATAAGCCTTATATAGGCAGAAATAAGGTTCCTAAATAATGAAACAGATCTAAATTATTACAGACTCATTAATAAGAGATTGCCTAAAATAAGGAAGGCTAGATAAATGGAAATAACTGTGACAAGGAAAGCAGAATAAAAGGAAACAATTAGAATAACTAAAGGGAGATAATTAGGAAAGCTTGTGGACAATTAATTAGGCCCCTTTTATGCGCCTCTGGTACACACGACCAAAACGACGTGTATCACTTAATTATGGGACGAAGGGAGTATTTGTTATTAACTAAGAAGTTTTAGTCTTCTTTGATTATGTATAAGATGTCTAAACTAAGATATTGCAAGCTTGTATCAATACGGTCTCTAATGTAAGTCCCCTTCATTCTTCTGCAGGTCACTGATGCACCTGAAATTCATTCCAATGGTTTTAGTATAAAGTTTGATATAACTAAGGGACAGATAGGTTTTGTTTTGCCAACTCTCATTCCTCCTTGTGACATTGACTCTTATTCTAGACTGGTGGATGCAGATACTGACCCCGTCACATCTAACTGCTGGAAGACATGCATTGTCCTCCCTTTTAGATCAAGCGTGTTGGCAGATTCTGCTATGAATAATGTTGCATCAATGTTTTCTGATCTTCATCCATCGTTGCTTCTTTTTCTTCACCGCCTTCAGTGTATCAGGTTTCGGAATATGCTCAGTAATTCATTTTTTGTTATGAGGAAAGAAGTTGTTGGCGATGGCATTGTTAGAGTTTCTTGTGGCAAAGAGAAAATGGTTTGGCTTGTGGTATCCCATAAATTACGGGCTGATGTCATTCGTCCTGATGTGCAAACAACAGAAGTATCCATGGCTTTTACATTGCAGGAGACATTTGATGGAAACTACATTCCAATTTTGAACCAACAGCCTGTTTTTTCGTTTCTCCCTCTGAGAAAATATGGCCTAAAGTTTATTATTCAGGGTGACTTTATTTTGCCTTCATCCAGGGAAGAAGTTGATGGAAATAGCCCTTGGAATCAGTGGTTACTCTCTGAATTTCCTGACCTATTTGTCACTGCAGAAAGATCATTTTGCAATCTTCCATGCTTTAGAAATAATCCAGGAAAGGGCGTTGCAGCATATATGAGTTTTGTTCCCATTGTAGGGGAAGTGCATGGATTCTTTTCTAGTCTTCCTCAGATGATTTTTTCCAGGTTGCGGGTTTCAAACTGTTTGATTCTAGATGGCAATGGGAATGAGTGGGTTCCTCCTTGCAAAGTTCTGAGAAACTGGACTGAACAGGCTCGCACTCTTTTGCCCGATAGCTTGCTTCGTAAGCATCTTGGGCTCGGATATTTGCATAAAGATATAGTTTTATCTGATTCGTTAGCTAGGGGCCTGGGAGTTGAGGAGTATGGACCCAAGATTCTTGCCCAGATTTTATCTTCTTTATGCTGCAAGGAGGATGGTTTGAAATCAATGGGCTTACCTTGGTTATCAGCATGGCTAAATTCCATGTATATGATGTCACTCCCAAGAGCTGGGCAAAGCTCACCTGATTCTGGGATAGGATCAGACATAATAGACAGCCTGAGGAATGTTCGGTTTATTCCCCTTTCAGATGGCACATTTAGCTCAATGGATGAAGGTACTATTTGGTTGCATGCTAATGCATTTAGCACTGGTACTAATGACAATATTGGTCTGAACAATTTTCCTTTGGTGTATGCAAGACTTAGAATTGTGAATTCTGCCTTATTCTCTGAAGATACTGCTCATGAAACATTGTGCTTTCAAGCATCTATGGTAGAAAATACTGCAAGGATGTTATACAGATTTGGTGTCCAACAGTTATCTGCACATGAGATAATAAAGATGCACATTCTTCCCTTTTTATCTGATGGGCAACACACTTCAGAACATGGAGAACTAATGACTGATTATATTTCTTTCATGATGTTCCACCTACAGTCAAACTGCCCCAACTGTCGTCTAGAAAGAGATCTTATTGTTGGTGAACTGCGCAACAAAGCTCCCATTTTAACAAACTATGGTTACAAGCGATGTGCAGAGGTTCCAATCCATTTCAGCAAAGAATATGAAAATCCTATTGACATGAAGCAGTTAGTAACAGGCATTGGTGTGCAGTGGGTTGAAGTGCATAATGTGTATCTAGAGCATCCGATTACAAATTTGTTGCCTGGAGGAATTTCAAAGTGGAGAAACTTCTTCATGGAGTTGGGGATCACTGATTGTGTTCAAATTGTTCAGGTTGAAAAAAGCATGACAGATATATCTCCCATAGTTCTACGAAGTATAACTTGGGATAAAGATTTATTTTCTCGAGAGTTAAAAGTCAAAGATTGGGAGTCTAAAGAAATGGTTCATTTGCTGTCGCAACTATGTGCTAATAATGATAAAGAGAAGTCTAAGCATTTTTTGGAGATCCTTGATTCATTATGGGATGATTGTTTCAGTGACAAGGCTGATGGTGTCTTTTTTAGTTCCAATGGAGAAAGGAAAGTATTTGAATCTTCATTTGTAAGCAGCCTTCGTGATTCTCAGTGGATTGTTTCGAGCATGGATGATGATCTCCACTTCCCCAAAGATTTATTCTTTGATTGTGAATCAGTGCGATCAATTTTGGGTGCATCTGCACCTTATGCTCTTCCAAAGGTTAGTCTGTTTTTTATATATTTCTAATCTATGTGAACTTATAAATATATACCTCACTTGTATTTCTTCCTAATAAGGTCTACCCATTTTTTATTGTTTGAAGTTAAATTTATTTATTTGCAATTTACTAATGTTGCGCTTAGGTTCACTATGGCTAGCATGTTCGGCTTCCCATTTATGAGCCATTGTTTTGCGTGGTAATGTATTTTTCTGCACCAAGGCCTATTCTGGAAGTTGAACGTGTATCTTTTCAGAAATATCACGTCCTTAGTTGAACTTTTCTTCTCTTCACCTCAATTTGGTGTTCTTGGTTTTTTGCACTTACTAAAAAATTTAATCATTCTGAGAACTGTCCCAAGCACATGTATTTCCCAACTATATCAGTCCATGAGTGCATATCACAGCTCCTCTTCATCTATCACCCTGGCCCACTTAGGGGACCTTCACAGCTTTGATCTCTATGTCACACTACTTGTTTGGTGTTTGGTGCTGGAGTTGAAGAAGCCTGCATCACAAGAACATAGGTTCCCGCTTTAAATAATAAACTATTGTTAATATGCTACATTATACTCCCCGAGTCCTATATCAGGGTTCCCATGCCAAAAGGGCATTTTTTAAACAAGTAGTTAAATAAAGCAGTTTGAGCACAAAACATAAGATAAAGATTAAAAAAGTAAATAATTAAAGTAAATAGTTTTGTGGCTGGGAACATTATTGGGTGGAGTAATTGATAAATAATTGTTTTAATATGAGGGTGTTTATTTAAAAAGCAATGATAAAGTTATCATTTAACACCTTTAATTGTTCCCGAAAAGGAAAATGAACCTTGATATGAGACTTCTGAAAAAGTAAGTAGGAACCTTGAATTGGGATGGAGTAATAGAAGTGTACCGAGGATTCTCTTTAGTGCTTCTAATAGGGTTTGTGTTCTCATCACCAAATTATTACTGGGGGGTCTTCCGGTCTTATTTACTTGTAGAATTCTTGAGTGTGATACTATGATTAAGGGTCTTAATTTTAGTTGCTTTATAGAACATTGCACGAATATCAATGTTTTGCCTCTGTTCAGTGCGGTATTACTTTTATACTTTATCCCACTAGATAAGTATTAATGTCATTCTAAAAAAACTATTGAGGCTTGCACCATGATGCCCTATTCGAGACAAAGCTATAGAAAAACTATGCTCCATAGAAGCTTACGCCGCGTCCAGGTTAACTCTTGGGCACGTGCCTCAGTCTTTTGAGGTTTATACCTCTAATATTGTGCAAAGATGTACACTACTTTACATGCGAAATGAGCTATTTTTACATTATATTATTCTTCTCACTACTTTACTTTGTGCAAAAACTATGCTTTTACTTTTTACAATCTCACCCACACCTGTCCAAACACACGTTACTGGACCTGTATTTACATTGTCTATAGACCTATATATAGCAATATGTGTTTTATACTGCACTTTGTTATACTTGGAATTACGTTGGCCTTTTGCTTTTCTTGACGCAGGTGAAGAGTCACAAGTTAGTAAGTGTTATTGGTTTGAAAACTCAGGCAACAGTTAGTGATGCCCTGTCTATTCTTAAGGTTTGGGCAAGATCTGAATCATCTTTTAGAGCCAGGTATGTCGTTGTTTTGCAATGCAAATAGTATCAGGAAAGTACTCCAGGACCTATTTATCGTCTTCTTGTTTATCTGATTTACCAGAGAAATGTTATTTTTGGATGATGCGTAAGTTTAAAATATTAACTCATTGCTCAAATTTTTATTCCCAGTTTATCTCAAATGGCTAAGTTCTACACATTCATATGGAATGGATTATCCACTTCTGAGCTGCATATTGTGAATGATCTATGTGATGGTCCTTTCATATTTGTCCCACACATATGTATTTCTTGGCCTGAGGATGCTGTATCTGGTATCTTTTTATCAAGTAAAGAAGTCTATTGGCATGATTCAACTGGTTTCACTGAAAAAATGAAAGTAGCCGGTCCTCAATGTTCAGCAGATGTGACTCAACGTCCTGTTGTTAAAATGTTATGTAGTGTGTATCCTAGCCTCCGTGATTTTTTTGTGAAAATGTGCGGAGTTGTTGAGTTTCCCTCTTTTTGTGGTTACCTTCCAATTTTGCGGCAGTTGTCAGCTGTTGTTTTACCTTCGGAGGCGGCTAAGACTGTAAGTAACCAACCCTAGGAAGCATAAATTCCACTTCTTGATCATTTACTGGTTTTCTGCTTCTAGTAAGAATACAACAAATGTTTTCTCTTTTTCAGGTTTTTCAGTTGTTTCTGAAGTGGTCTGAAGAATTGAAATTAGGTTCGCTTAGCTCCGAAGATATTGAAAGTTTGAAAAATGAACTTCTGCAGAAGGACTTTACAGTGCTCCCCACAGTACAGGATAAATGGGTATCTCTGAATCCATCTTTTGGCATCATCTGTTGGTGTGATGATGATATACTGAAGAAGGAATTCAAGCATCACCAAAACATTGACTTTTTACACTTTGGGGAACTTATCAGCGAAGAAAAGGAGTTGCTTCACTCCAAGGTGTCAGTTCTCATGCAAATGTTAGGCATACCTGCTCTTTCAGAGGTAAGCTTAGCCTCCCTTTTCCCATTGATGTACTTGTTATGCAATCTTGTGCAAACTTATTGATAAGAAACAAAAGAAAGAGGACGATTGATAAGAATTTCACTTTTTGGGAATTCACATGCATGAGAAAGTGTGCACTTCCCGTTGCTTTTCATTGCTTTGCTTAAGTGCCAAAAGCAGTAATTTTCTGCATGTGTTGCATAATTCTATTTTCTTCATGTGCCCATGTTGCTCTCTGAAGTGGTTTGTGAAAACTTGGTCCTTTTATTATAAATGGTGTCTGTTCTTCTGCATTATTGATGAAATGGATGTGCCAATAACTCTCTGGAGAGGGGCTATGGCTAGTGGGTACTCACTAGTTTACTGGAAATATCGTGGTTTATATTACTTCCCGAAAGAGAATAAAGTTTGAAATATTTGCAGCCAAAATTTTACACAGTTACAATTGTTTGTAACAGAAATGTGTTCACTTTTTATTTAGTCAATCCCTTTGTAATATTAATTTTAATTTACTTTTAGACAACTCTATTTCTATTTAGTACGTGTGTTCAACTATAAATTTATTCTTACAGCAAGTCCACGGTGAGAACATTGAGCACATATTCAGTTATTCACATACTGAAATATCACTTCTCCATACGGTGCCCACTTCTGCCATCTGCATTGTGTGTGTTATAGTATTAAGGTTTGAACACGTACAGTTTATGCACGTACTTCTCCATCTCTGAATGCATTGACACACAGAAGTTGCAGTTTGTTGACATGCCCATTGACCTCAGTCTACAGTGTACTCCCAATTATCTAGTATGCCTACATGTAGAACAGAAAATCTATCCACATGCGTAAATTGTAGATGTCCATACTTCTGCAGTCACATCACAACTGGACCTGCAAATCTGCACACATGTAAAAGTTCGAAACAATAGGGTAGAGCGTTCATATATAAGGCACATAGTGTGCTATGAATTTCTAGTATGCTTCTATTTCAGCATAAATAAATGCCTTTAGCATGGTTATACATATGACAGTATATCCATTTTAAAGTTACCGAACTTCATGCTTATGAATTTATGGATGAATGAATGGGATATTTGCTCTTGGTCTGTTGCAGGTTGTAACTCGTGAAGCAATATATTATGGCGTGTCTGATTGTAGTTTTGTTGCTTCTCTAATCAACTGGGTTCTTCCATATGCTCAACGCTATATACACAAGAACCACCCTGAAAGATTTTCTCAGTTCAAGCAATCTGAATTTGAAAGCCTGAAATGTCTAAAATTAATTGTTGTAGAGAACCTGTTCTACAGAAATGTGATTAAAGGATGTGGAGTTCCATCCAAGAAAAGGTTCGAGTGCAACTCTCTTCTACAGGTATCCAAACCATTCTGTAAATCCAGTTCTTTGCTCAATTGCTGGGTAGCGAGTAATCACCTAAGGACAAAAGTAGTTAGGAGGGAAATGGTTTATATTTGGATTGTCTGCTAAAACCACTAGGATCCGCACATGAGAATATGATGTCTCTGTCAAGGTTAAAATGGGGGATTTTTAGCCTTGGGACACATTCCATTTGCGAGGCAAGGGTTAAGCTTAAATGTTATACAGAACTTTCATTAGAACTCAAAATCAGTAGCGTTTTGAAACATACTATCAATCATACATTGAAAACAAGTCATAAGTAACTGCCATGAGCCATTATCATATTTGACTCTGCAATTTAAGATTTTTCTATAATAAATAAAATCAGAGAGTTGTTCAAATGTGAAAAAAGGAAAGTAACTGGAGGAATTGATGTTCTGGAAAATATGAAGCAAAAGAAAACACGCAACTGTTTTGTTACTGCTGTTTTTATTGTTTGGATCACAAGGAAAAAATAGAAGCTGGGTTTGCTTGAGCATTGCTGGAAAGGAGATGAGGAGAATAGTCTAGTAGCTCAACAAGATTTGTTAGCACTTGTACTAGAGTGCAACGCGGTTCGTAGGCTATGTGAAATAAGTGAAGTGTATAAAGTTATGAGTACATCTTAGAGTTTTTAATGGGTTTAGTGACTAGGGAAGCCCAGGGTATGAAGGCATCCCCGCAACATGAGGATCAAGGGAAGGGGGCCCCACACTCCCATTACAAGGGTGTATAAGGGGCAAGCTTTCCCTTGTCAATTTTTTTGACAAGAGGCTCTCCCAAGACTTGAACTCGTGACCTCTCGATCATACAACAACATATTAACCTTAACTAATGCGCCAAGGCTCCCCTTCAATGGGTTTAGTGTCAAATTTGCAAAATAAAAATATAAGACCCAATATGACTGGCTGAAAAGTAATAAGCCCTAGACAAAAAAAAAAGAAAAATATGAGAGGCTTGGGCCTCATTTCACGACCTTAAAGATGTTTTTTATTTAGACTTATTTCCGTCCCAGATCAGACCTGACTAGACTTTAACAAACCAAACCAGACTTCGACAATTGTAAAATACTTAGAGACCAACCATTTATCAGACCCGTCCAGACCAGATCATACTTAAACAAATCAGATCAAACAATTTCAGTCTAAGTAAAAACATTCCAAGTCTTATTAGGCTATCCCCCTCAACCATGGCACTTAAAGCTTTTGTTCGTTCACCTGAGGCTTAAGGATGGTTTCAGTCCGAGACTACACCAAATCAGACCAGACCTTGACAGTTATAAAATACATAGAGACTAGACATATAACAGACCAATTCAGACCATACCAGACTAGATTAGACTTATACAGACTAGAGTAGACCAGACTAGAAAATTCCAGTCCAAGTAAAAACATCCTAAGCCTTAGTTTTTCTTTCAATGCCTCATACAGAGGTGAGGCCTTTAGGCGTGCTTTAAAAATGTGTTTTAAACCACCGTCTCTCTGCATACTTTTAAAGGCTAAATAGTTCTGTAACTGTAGGTTTTAGGAATTAATCTTCCTTAATATTATTGAGCCATCCGGCAATGATATATATACAGGTTACAGATAAATCCTAGTTGTTTCAGATCCTAAATAATAGGATCTATTCTGCAAGCTTATCTATTAATTAAAGAGTTCTATCTACTCTAAGTCTTATCTATACAGTTCCGGATGTACATAAAATTAAAATAACAAATACATGTTACATTTTTCTACAGTAACCTTCTACTGCAGCACCATTGTTACATTTGTTTAATTGGAGCTTCTTGCGTTTCTGGGCTACAGTGAACTTGCTGCACTAAATCCTATCATTTTTTTCCATATTTAGGGTGACTTCTATAGACGGTGGCACAGTGCTTGCGTACAGTGTAGTACTTTTTTTTATAACAAAGTACAGTTTAGTAATTTAAAATGTTAAATCTGTACACTTCACAACCTAATTCCTGATGTTTTCCGTGGTGACTTACAGGACACCGTATTGTATGTTTCTCGAGACTTGGATTCACACTCTTTGTTTATGGAGCTTTCTCGTCTCTTTAGTGGTGGGAACCCTGATCTCCAGTTGGCCAATTTTCTCCATATGCTCACGACCATGGCGGAATCAGGCTCAACTGAAGATCAGACTGAATTCTTCATCATAAACAGCCAGAAAATACCAAAACTCCCAGAAGGAGAACATGTTTGGTCCCTTTCAGAGAGTGCATTTTCAATGGGAAATGCAGATGCATTGATGACTAATTTTGAATCGGTAACCACCGAGGAGCCAAATCCAGTCAAGTTCAAAAGGAGACCGGGAATAAGTTCTAATTGGCCACCCGCAGACTGGAAAACTGCACCTGGTTTTCCTACTACTGGTGCGCCTAAATATAAACCACCCAAGGACAGCAGTGGTTTGCATACACTTGAGGATGAGGTGGCAGAAGTCATGAGGCATCTCGAAAAGCACCTGCCTGCTCCAGTAGATATCAACTTTGAGGGAGTTATTCAAGAAATTTCAACACCAAGTGCACTTGGGGTGGTGGGTGCACCAGATTCTGAAATCACAGAGGATAATAAATCATCAGACATTGGCATTACCAGTAACACTACACCTGTTGTGGGTAGGTGTCTTGATTCTTCTCGTGTTGAGACTACACCAGAAGGTTTGGCTTCGGATTGGAGCGATAGAGGTCAGCTATGTCTTGGCACACCAAACAGACAACAAGCATTGTTAACGGGCAGGCTAGGAGAACTTGTTGCTTTCAAATATTTCATTGGAATTGTCGGCGAAGGATTTGTGAAATGGGTTAATGAAACAATGGAGTCCGGATTGCCTTATGATCTTGTAGTGGGAGATAAAGAATACATAGAAGTGAAGTCAACCAAATATGTGAGAAAAGATTGGTTCAGCATATCCATTAGGGAGTGGCAATTTGCAGTTGAAAAGGGTGAACTTTACAGCATTGCACATGTTGTGTTAGCAGCTGATAATACTGCCACAGTCACTATATACAAAAACCCTGCCAGACTCGTCCAGCTTTGTAAGCTGCAATTGGCCCTTACAATCCATTAATATCTTTTTCTTGGATTTTCTTCCGATTGCCTGAGTTGTTTGGATCCTTGAGTGGGTCTCAACTTCTCATCCAAGAATACCATCACTAGAATATTTGTTACAAAGGTGAAAGGGACATACATCTATGATGTTGGATTTTTTTTACAACACTGAAAAGTTCATCTGGACGTGCCTCATCGTATCAAGTTCAGGAACTGAGTGTATAATTTATTTCATAGCGACAGTGGTAGGATATCTTTCTTTTTTTCCTAGAAGGTTCTGTTCATTGGTGTAATGTTAAATAAATAGAAGAGATATTCATAACCGTTTTTTTCTTGTTACTCCGTAGAAGGCAGTTTTGCAGCACTATGTACCAGACTACCAGTATTGTCCATATATGAAATTTTTATGGGGAAAAATAATTAAATTACCCCAAACTTTGATGAGGTGTGAGATAAGCCCCCAAACTTGCATATGTAATTTAAATACCCCAAACTTTATATAAAAAGTTATTTTAGCACTATGGTCATGTATTATTTTTTTCAAGACGCGGGGACGGACGTCCCCAACCCCTGGTAATTAATGGCCAAACATTATTGTGTGGGGTAAAAATGGGATACATTTTGGGGGTACCTCTAGGTAGCCAGGTAGGGGTGGATTCGGTTTGGGCCACCCGGCCCGTGACCTGGCCCGGCCCGCTACTGTGCGGGTCTGGGACCGGCCTGGTCTGGCGGCCTGGGACCGGGTGTAGACCCGAACCGGGGGGGAAGGGTGGGGCGGGCTCGGTTCAAGCAAAAGGTGACCTGGCCCGGCCGGGTTGAGCCCGGGTCCGGGTCCAACGGTCAAAATTTAATTTTTTAGTTTTGGGCCACAAGTAGCTGTTGGGGATGGGCTGGGGACTACCCAAATGTCTATATAGCCGTTGGGTGGGCTGTCGGGGGAGGGGGAGGGGGGTCCGGGTGGTTTGGAGGGGGGGTGGGGGGTGAGGGTGGGGTAAAAAAATCTATCTTAAACATTTTTTCATATCTCTTCTCCAACTCTTCCTAAATCCTACTCTCTACTCTTTAATTATCTTCATCTTCTCAAATTCTCTTATTCTCCAATATATTATATATTTACTTATATTATTTATCTACTTAGAAATACATATATTATATTACTTATATTTCTTATCTACTTAATCTCTACTTATTATCTACTTATTATCTACTTATATCTACTAAATACATACATATTACAATTTATATCTACTAAGTTAGAATTGTTAACATTTTATTTCATTAAAGTTAGAATTGTTAGAATTTTATTTCATTAGTTCGAATTGTTTTTATAAATTAATATTCGTTACATTTTTAAGATGGAAGGTGGTAGATTTCGGTTGATATGTGTAACCTCGAGCGCAACCGAACGAACGAGCTTGCGAGGAAGCAATCCCGCAAAGGTAAATCACATATTGGCTCTTCATCTCAAAGCCGAGATGATTTTGATACTAGTTACGCAAGGAGGGATGAGGATACCATGACCTACGAACAACTAGAACAAGAATTGCACCGACATAATAGTCGGTTTTTCCAAGACGATGTGGAGGAAGAAGAGCTCGAGGACGACGATGTGGAGGAAGTAATTCCGGAGAGCCACGACGGCGACGCGGAGGAGGGTGGCGGCATCCACGATGCTGGCGAGCCTGCCTCATCCCAAACAGGTACGAAAAAAAGTAAATCTGAACTAATGCAAAATAATTTTGATAAGTGGAAGGACCCGAACACCGGGAATTAGAACGCAACTTGCAAGTGGTGCAAGAGAAATTATAGCTTGGGGATTTCCGGCGGATACGGATCCGCCACAAGGCATCTTAAGGCCAAACACCCGATGGAGTATGCAAAATTAGGTGGCGGAACGGGGAAGCAAACTCAAATATCGAGATTTGCAAATAACCAACAACCTTTTGGTAATTTCTCATTGATGCACAAAATTTGACTGATATGACTAACTTACTTGTTGAAGAAAATTTGCCTTATTTGTTTTCTGAAAGTCTTGTTTTTCGTGATTATGTAAAAACTTGTTTAAATCCTCAATGTAGAGGTTATAGTCGCAAAACAGTTAAGAAAGAAATTTCAAGGCTTTATGGTGCGGAAAAGGTAAGGTTACAAAATTATTTTGCAAACTTTGATGGGCGTGTTACTGTATGTTCTGACGTATGAGTGGATACTTATCATAATTTACATTATTTGGATTTGACTGTACATTATATTGATAATGATTGGAATATGCATAAACATGTTCTTGCTTTTCGTGAATTTAATGATCGTCACACCGCTGAACATATTTATATTTTGATTGAGCGTATTTTAATTGAGTATAATTTAATTGATAAGGTGTTTGCTATTGGTTTTGATAATGCTACTAATAATACTGCTGCTATTCTTAGATTGCGTGAATTGTGTGGTTCTACTTCTTTGATGAGTATATTTTTTTTATCAACGATGTGCATGTCATGTTATAAATTTATGTTTGCAAGATGGTCTAAAAGCGTTAGGAGCGTCTTTGGAGGTAATGAGGGGGGGGGGGGGGATTCGACGTATTTGGGGTAATGGTCAACTTAGAAAAAAATGGCATTATTATTTGATAGAAAGAGGTGAGAAATATGTGGTTTTTCCTAAAGATTTGTCTATTCGTTGGAATAGTATTTATAAGTTAATTGCAGTTCTTCTTAGATATAAACAACATTTTCCTACTTTTATGAAACAATATGATAACTATACTATAAACTCGACTGAGATCGACACCTGCGAAAAAATTTGTAATGCTTTGGTATATTTTAATAATGCAACTGAAACTTTTAGTCATGTTTATAAACCTACCTCAAACCAATGTATTCATGAAGCTGTTAATCTCGCCGATGCTTTTTCAAATTTTGAGAATGCCGATTATGTGGGTTATTTTGCTGGTTTTATGAAGGAAAAGTTTTTAAAATATTATTCACATATTCCGCATATTTATGGTATTGCATTTGTTCTCGATCCTCGTTTTAGACTTGGTTCTTTAGAAGAATGTTTGACTTATTATTATGTTGCTTTTTTGATCCAGTGCCAATGTATGACGAGAACTCAATTGATCCGAAAAAAGAATACAACGAGGTTAGTGATATATTTTATGCATTATTTAATGAGTTTCATGCACAATATGGCAACGCGCCCCCTCCCCCGACACAAACCTCTTCATCTAAAGGAAAATCAATTTTGAAATCTACATTTGCCAATCTTATTAAAAAACTAAAACAACATCCGCAACTCAACAAAACACAATTAATAAGATTTCTTTGTATTTAACATATGATGTTGATTTTGAAGAAGATGATGACTTTGACGTTCTAAACGGTGGAAGGGAAAAGAAAGAATGTTCCCGGTTTTAGCAAAGATGGCTAAGCAAGTGCTATCAATGCCGGTTTCAACAGTTGCAGTGGAACAAGAATTTAGTTCGGCTGGCAATGTCCTAACGCAATGTAGAACGAGGTTGAACGCATAATCTCTTGAGATGCTTATATGCTACCACGATTGGTTGAAGGCGGCCCGTAGAGCTCAAGAAATTGACATCACCTCATCCCAACACTTTATGGATCAATCTAAAACCGAGGGTGACTCTACCTATATCGGAGATTCCGATTGATTAGTATTTCATGTTTTAATTTTACCTTCAATTCTCAATTGTAATTTCATATTGTATTTTTTTCTTAATTGTCAAATGTAGTTCCTATTTCATTTCAAATAAATGCACTTGAAGTTTGTTTTTAATACTTTTATAAAACTATAAAGTATAAATTATAAAAAAATGGATTTAACCGGCCAGGCCCGGCCCAGCCCGACCCGTGACCCGGGCGGGTGGCCCGGCCTGAACCGGAACCGCCTGTACCTCAGGCCGGTCCCGAGCCCACCATTCACAAATCGGCAGCCCGACCCGGCTCGAATCCATGCCTACCTCTAGGTGCTCATGAGGACGAACGTCCTCGCGTCTTGAAAACATAATACATGATCATGGTGCTAAAATAACTTTTTATATAAAGTTTGAGCTATTTAAATTACATATGCAAGTTTGGAGTACATATCTCACACCCATCAAAATTTGGGGTATTTTAATTATTTTCCCCAATTTTTATGTCCATCATCTACATTAGTTATCATGTCGATATATGCAAATTTTACCTCTCATTTCACCATTATATATATACATATCATATACTACGCCTGTGTGTGTATAATATTGTAAATAATTTAACAATATAAATGGATATTTGAAATTCTGAATTTGATGGTCAATGGTCCAACACTAGGGATGGACAAGGCCGTGCCTGATCGTTTTTTTGGTTTGTTGAGACCCGGAACCGGCCTGGGTAGCTACCGGATCGGGTCGGGTTACCTGACCGGGTTCCGGGTCGGGTCGGGCTGGGTCTGGGCTGATTTTTACTTTTTTTTATGTTGTTTACAAATTACTTCAACAATTGCTAGATAAAAAAAACATAGAGTATATTTATTTGAAATAAGAAGTACAATTGAGAATTGAGAAAAATTTAAAACATGATATACATTTTCTAATAACTAATAATCAATCGGAATCTTCGCCATCTTCAGTTGTTTCCTCCATAAAGTGGCGGGTGAGGGTGACGCTCACTTCTTCAGTTCTACGTTGGACCTTCTACCAATCGTGGAAGCAAACATGCGTCTCAAGAGAGTTTGCGCTCAATCTCATTCTATAACCCGTTAGCACGTTGCTGGTCGCACTAAATTCTTGTTCCATGGCAACTCTTGATACCGGCATTCCTAGCACTTGCTTAGTCATCTTTGATAAAACCGGGAATGTTCTTTCTTTTTCCTTCCACCCCTTTAGAACGTTGATGTGAGTTTTCTCGCACTTAAAAGGATTGTAATATAGTGGTGTAAGTACGAGTATCGTTTCCACATGGACGGACAAAAGGAAATAAAGAATTAATTAAGTTCAGCGATTAAAAATAAATGAAATAAATGCATCGTGCGAGATTGGGTTGATTGAGAAAATTAAAATTGCAAATAAACGAATAAAAGTAAAGAATTGGGTTCTTCTTAATTAACGACGAAGGGAACATGAATTGATTCTGGGGTAATCAAATTTCTGGCAGATCAGGCTTAATTACATGAAATTAATTTAATTGAGCCTAGCTAATCAATACTAAGTTCTTACCGCTCTCGCGGCGTAGAGTACAATAATTTAGGGAACCAGACTGATCTCTCATGCGACAGGTTCCTAAATTATTGCCAAGACGAGCGAGCTTACGGCCCCTTAATCGCTACTAATCTCTTAGCGAACGATTAAGTGTGCGTGAATGTGTCCTAGAATAAATTAGATCTCTCTTGATTTATTTTACAAGCAATTGTAATTCTAGTGGCCATCTAGGTTACAAAAGATATCAATTAAATTATTCAAACAAAAATTAAACGGCATTCATGCAATTTAAACCACCAAGAAACTAGCCATACATCGTGATCAACCCCTT